GAGTGACTCCTTCCTGCATGTGAGTGACTCCTTCCTGCATGTGAGTGACTCCTTCTTGCATTGAAGGGATTTCTCCCTGCATGGGAGTGACTCCTTACTGCATGTGAGTGACCAATATATTTTATCATTTCTGTTTAGGTATTGGAGATGTGACATTTCTGGTGTTGGAAGCGGAAAACTCCAGGGGAAAACTGTGGCCATCAAAGATAGCATTCCTGTAGCGGGCATCCCTATGATGAACGGATCTCGGATACTGGAAGGTTTTATCCCCGATATAGATGCAACAGTCATTACTCGTGTACTTGATCAAGGTGGACGCATTCTTGGTAAAGCAACATGCGAGAACCTTTGCTGTAGTGGTGCGAGTTTTACRTCTGCAACTGGACCTGTGCTTAATCCAGTGGATCGTACAAGGACGTCTGGAGGTTCATCTTCTGGTTGTGCAGCTGTGGTGAGAAAAATACTATTGATCAACGATTTATAAACTCGGGCGAACTACTTAAAAACATATCTTTGGAGAAAATGAGATTTGAAGATAAATGTTGAATGATACGTACGTTTATTGTATGTCTATAATTGTAAATGCAAAAGTTTTGTTCGTCTTGAACCAATAGTGGTGGTTAGAAGTACTATGAATAGCATCTTTTAACAACCAAATCAATATTAACTAAAAAGTTACTATTAGCAATTAACCAGCACGAGCTGTGTACTCGCTGTAGGAAGAGGTTTTACGAGTGACTTGGTAACTGACCATCAAAACTGAAAATGCTTTATTCAAGCTTTTAATTTGCTTTATTTTTTTCAAGGAACTTGATGGCATCCTTTTGTTTGCGACAGAAAGCGTACAGCTTATTTGGTAGAAGTTCTTTTCGATCTTACATGAGGTTTTTAGCTAGAACAAATTGTGGTTTGAAAACGATTAAATTAGATCCCATTTATCTCATAATTTTCATAAAATCTTCCGTAGAAACCCACCTCTCCCATCCTATATCAATTACCTCATTCTCACACGCGGTCGTGTAAAATGTTATRAAAACCAAGTGTTAACATCCTTGGTGTGTTTTTTTTAATGACATTGCTAAGGTAGCCACAGGAGAGGTAGACATGGCTATAGGAGGTGATCAGGGTGGATCTATTCGTATGCCATCAGCTGCATGCGGTATTGTTGGATTAAAACCAACATTTGGTCTGGTTCCATATACTGGTATTTCATCTATGGAAGCTACACTTGATCACACTGGACCTATGGCTAGGACTGTCTATGATATTGCACTACTGCTTGAGGTAAGCGAAACATCAATAGATAACATAGATTCGAAATGTCCATATCAGCGCCTTTCTCCATGTACAGATATGGGTCCTATGATGACCGCCGGATGAATGGATGAAGGATGAATGGCACCCCAAATTATTATTGCTGTTCTTCGATTGGATAATCGCTGCCATGTTGGTACCATTCAACAAAAGATTTCTCATTAGCATCCATTGTTTATCGCACCAAGATGGCCGCCATGCTTTTGTCTCTTGTCTTTCTTGGAAATGCTTGCAACCCATCAATATAAAAAAGGGACATGTTTTTCAATCCAGATCTCTTTTTTAATCTGCGGTTCTTGCTTTTAGGCACTAGCTGGGCGTGAGGACGAAGGCCTAGATCCGAGACAGCCAAATGATTTGAAAGTTCCTGAATACACTAAACAGGTATGTCATGAAGACAACTTGCTGGAAACAATGAAAAACAACCTGAAATCAAAAACACCACCCAAGGATTCTAGCTTATTAAATGCTATAATACTTCATAGATATTAGCTCCTGTTTTCTTTTTTCATGCATTAGATTACCTTATTTTTACCCTTGTACCTGTCCCCGTCCTTGTCCCTGTCCTTGTCCTTGTCTTATTTCTTCATGTGAAACTTCTTTTTTTCTTTTTCTTCTTTTTCTTTTTCTTTTTTTTTTTTTTTGCTTTACCCGTAGTTTCTCCTTTTTGGTAATTGTGTTTAATATATTCCAGCTGACAGGTGACATCAAGGGTCTTCGTATTGGTCTCGTCAAGGAGGGTTTTGATCCCACTTTCGAGCCAGACGTCAATCAGCTGGTCAAACAATCAGCAGAAAGACTTGGTGAAGTAGGTGCAGTTGTTGAAGAGGTGTCGATTCCTTGGCATCTTGATGGTAAGTTAACCTAATTTTATTTGGCTATGTTTTCTCGAAATCAATAGCGTCTTCTACTCGAGAGAAACAGTTTAGTGTAAATCATCATTCAGCAAGTAGTTTTTATCATACCTGATTAATATCGGAGATCGGCGCCAGATAGTGTTTAAGGTAACTTCTTTCTGTCTCCTGCAGGAAAACACCTTTTTACCGCTATTTTCAAGGAGGGAGGCAACCGCACTATGTTCGACTGGTACGGTAAGTATCCATCTTTCACAATCGTAGGTCCTCGAGATTTGTGCCCAATTGTCTCTGAACCAATGGTAGAAGGGTACTCAGTAATGGGTGTCAAGGAACTTGAAGGAACTCTTTGTCAGGACACACAGTGTAAACACACATTTGGAACTTCGTTGCTGGCAATCACGTGATATTCTGCCAATAAGATTGAGTTATTTTGGTACACGCTGGTCAGAAACGGTTTGACTATGTGTTCGGTCTTTATGAGGATACATCTCATAGACCAGTGTCATTATACAAACAAAACACTATCATTAAACCTAGAGTGGCTTCATCGACTGACAGCACTGTACCGATAAAAGTCTTTGAATATCGTTACCTGCTCTTGCACTTGAACTATGAACTAGTCTTGTTAATACTTACAGGTGCTGGCACAAGTGCTCGTACATACTACGATACCCATGCACAGCAAGCAATGGCACGTGGAATGAAAAGCCATCCTAATGACCATTCTTCAAATGTGATACTGCTACGTCTTTTTGCCAGGTACGGTGAATAAAACCGGTGGTTCTTGACCCTCATCCTTCTCCCCTCTCCCCTTGGGCCCTCCCTTGGATCCCCATTGCTTTGCCATTGACGATAGTGCTGASATCATTAGTTATTATCTGGCCTTAGGTACCTACATGAGGATTACAATGGAATCTTTTACAGCAAGTCACAGAATCTCAGCCGTGAATTAAGAAAAGCTTACGACGAAGCCTTTGAAAAATACGACGTCATTATCATGCCAACGATTCCCAAGAAGGCTCCCAAATTGCCTCCGCCAAACCCTTCATTGGCTGGTGAGTGTGTTACTTGTATAGGGTGTTTATAGCGGACAGACTAACTGGGGCAGCTTATGTAAATGAAGTTGACTATAATCATGAGTTCAAAGATTTTGAATTCCAGTTTTCTTGATTTCAATCAAAAACAGTCTCGTGTATTTTACAAGGGCGGATCCAGCCAAAATTTTAGGGGGGACTAATTGAGTTTCTTCCGTCAACACAACAGAATACAATATAAAAAAGCATCGTTTTTTTCTGCTGAAGGTGGGGGGGGGGGGGGGCTTCAGCTCCCCTTTGCCCCCCTGGATCCGCCCTTGTTTTAGATGTGATTGAGAATTAAAGCTGGAAAACATTTTTTCCACTTCAGAATACATAGAAAAGGCATTTGAATTGATCCCTAACACCAGCCCATTTGACGTGAGTGGACACCCGTCCCTCACCATCAACGCGGGATTGTCTGAGGGATTACCTGTTGGAATGATGATCACTGGGAAAATGTTTGACGAGTCTACTGTACTGAACGTAGCCTATGCCTACGAGAAGCTGAGAGATGGAGTCTAGATCGACGGATGAAGCAGGAGTATCAAACAGGAGTATCTATTAGAGATTTGAACTTTGATAATAATTTTGTCTCTCCGAAATTCAGGGAGAGACTGGTAACCAATTCGTAACGTAAAGGATTGTGGGTCAATTCGTTCGCCGAGTTTGTCCGCCTTTTTGGTCACAAGATTGAGACCATGATAGACTCTATCTGGGAGAATCAATATTTTTACCCGACCTATTTCTGTGGGCCTGAATTGAGTAACGTGAGAAAGCGCTATAGTTTTTTGCTCGCTTTACTGATTTCAGCTTTACAATCTTTTGCAGTATGACCTAGTTACCAGTCTCACCAGATTTCGAAAAGCCGAATAATAAATAACTGTAAAATCTAAAGAGTTTTTGAGTGTTTCTTTTGTAACTATAGCAAGCTTTATTTAGCACATAAATTCCATTATTTTATCGTTCTCATTGCAAACAGCATTTCTGATGCAACAGGAGTCCACTCTTAAATTCAGTTAACAATCAGTTCTCGGCACGCGCCGCACAGAAATCAAACTGAGTAAAATTGTTTSTTTCCTCAAGCAAATTAGTTTTAATATAAACCGAACTTTCGGGCATACTCGCCCATCCTCAGGGTACAATGGAATCAACGGTAAAACTATCACGATTATAAACATATATGCGCGTGCTACACACGTTAACAAACATTAATTTCGCGCGCTCACATAAACGCTTATCAGTACAATAAATCAAATATAAGTTGCAGATAATCAGTTCAGACAGTTTTCTGCCAGAGTGTCTATTAAATATATAGCGTTTTTGTTCTTAGCAATGTGCCGTGCTTCAGCCCATTTACGTTGGTGCCATCTCTGCTCTGTCTCGACCACTTGACTTCAATTCGAGCGTTTATGTAAGCGCGCGAAATGAATGTTTGTTAACGTGTGTAACGGGTGGGGGGTAGAGGAGTGGGAATGGAGAAATTACATAATTTGTAGGAGGAAATACTAGAATCCCCCTTCTAATCACTTAAAAACTGGAGAAAAACTCTGCTCTCTCTTTCGAAATCATTTCATAGTAAGAAGAAAAATGCTACATAATACTTTATTGTTATAGCTAGATAGCAGAAAACTGACGTGAAAAATATGAACGAGACTTTTTCCTTCGCCTTTTTGCTATTACTGATCTAGTCTGTGATGTTGTATTGTGCTGTTGGATTGTGCTGTTGGACTCGGTGCTTTCACAGTATTTTGGTACAACGTGACAGAGATGAAAGGCAAATGCTGTAATGCTAAACCAACCTTGATTCCCAACTAAGGGTGTAACAATCTCGTTCTTTAGTTCACTTTGTAATTTATGTTTGAAAGCATAGCACACACACAAGGCTAATTAGCGTATTATCATGGTAATACTAATAACTATGAACTAGGGATGGGCTTTCTCATGCATAATGTACGCTAGGGCGGACAGTGATTCTAATAATTTCAATCCTCATTTCTTTTCAACCCACCCACTATTGTGTACTGCATAGACTATCTGATGTTCCTCCTTAAATAACTCTAAATCCGGTCTGATATTAGTCTGAATCAGTTTCAGGTGTGACAACCATGTTTTAGTGGTGAAATCAGTGGGAGAGGAAAGATGTGGTAAAGAAAGCGARTATGCATCATATATATTTTTGCTTAGACCATGATCATCGGTTTCATATGAATAAAAAATAACCCAAACTGTCAAATAAAATATTGACGCCAATGAATCCCTGCCTTAGATCGGAAACGTTGCCTTAGCAAGCCTTCTAGTTGGGCTAGTGCATATCTGTGACAGGAAAGACACAAGGATAAACCGCAACCTTAGCTATAGAAGACGGCAAGGAGCGAAAAAAAAAAAGGTTGATCAACTTGTAAATAAAAGGATGTAAAAAAGAAAGACTTTGATGTTGTCCTGCTGATGTTATCATCTTGCATCGAGAAAAGACTGTATAGTGTCTTGCTTGCTTTCGTATTCTGAATAGGTATGATGAAAAATCAATGAAGAAAATCGTCTTCGCATAGCGAAAAATCATGGGAAAACAAAAGAAATAAAAGAAACGACCTCAGCTAGAAGAAGACGGTGAAGAGGGGGGAAAGGTTGATAACTTGTAAATAAATAATCCTGTTAATGTTATCATCTTGCATCGAGAAAAGACTGTATAGTGTCTTGCTTGCTTTCTGAACAGATATGATGAAATGAAAAGAATCATTTTCACATAGCGAAAAATTCATGGGAAATCGAAAGAAATAATATATAAGAAAAAAGAAAAGCCTTTCCAGAAATCCAACCTCACTTGAAGTTTCATTTTATTCCAAGCAGTTTTCAAATGACGCCAGATTGTAGTTTTATCATTATTCTTGCCATATTTCTTCAGGGTGCGATAAAATTGATTATTTTTGTGTGCGTAGAATAGAAAGGGCATTTTATCTATAGAATGTACTGACACAATGTATTTCCCCCCTGGAGCAAACACCGCAACATTCCTGTTTTTCAATTATATCATTTATGCTTTTTGAAAAGATGTCATTTGTTGGCGTAAAAATTATGGAAAATCAGATCTTGACTCAAATATGTGGCGTTTTTGGATCGAATTCAATATGTTCTATATAATATTCAGCAAACTCGGTTTGCTGCCTATTTCTACCACATTATTTCAGCATGTTTTGTAAGGTATACTCGTTGCGTTGGCCTCAGTTGAACATGTCTCGCACATGCATAAGTCTCTTTTCTATAGAGATAAATTAAGCAAACTGATCTGTTATTGAGAAGCTATTCAATTTGTGCGCTTCTTGCAGTAAATACTTGCTACGTTGGAGGGATGAAAATGGTTTCCAATTGAATTCTTCCTAGAAAGATAAATTGAGCAAACTATCTGATATTTGCAAAGCTATTTCAATTTGCGCTATTCTCACTACGTTGGGGTCGATCAATTTAAGCTTGAACAAATGGGAGTTTTAAGAGTTAAATTACAAATACGATCTAATGTTTTATATTTACAATTCAATCAGGACTGACATGTCGCTCACTACTACGATCGAGCTACAGCCGGTYGTTGATAATTGAAACTTCAAGCAATGGAAATTCTAAATACCCGGCGGTGGTTTTAACCAGTTGAAATGAAAACATAATCTGATGTTACCAATACAAGCTGGTACAACATCCATTTTTTACGGTATTCCGACATGTATTCTCGGTAGATTTGTTTAGCAATCACATTGTTTATAAGCGGATTCTGTCTTCACTACTAAAGCTTAGAAATGAGTAGATAGGCGTTAAAGGAATAACTCTGCTTTTAGAGGCAAATGTTTACTTTGACTGGTGTATACTAAAGCGTACAATCTCAATTTTAACCATTTTTTCAAATTGAATTTTACAATATAATTTAATGTTTGATTGAATGCATTGTATACGACAGGAAGAGAAAACCAATCCTAAAAAAAATCGTCCGGAAATCATTCATGCTTAAGCTGTTCTCGATTTTTTCAATTACCTAAAATGGGCCACCTATTATGACAATAAACATTGTATATATATTTTACATTATGTGTTAAATTCCATAATCGAATTTGGTGGATTTGACGAGATTAATTCCACAGCTGTATGCAGGATGGTCCACTTGCTGACTAGACCGCTCTCATTCAAGACATCACTTGCTATAGGAGAACGTACAACTACTGACGGAGACCATGAATGCTATCTTTCTTTCGACCTTCATGATACTTTTTAATGTCATCAAGATTATATCTTAGATTCATTCATAACAGCCGATTTTATACGCGCGCGTCTTCTGCTGCACTGAGCCTACAGATGGAGAATCGAAGACCTCGATCGAATTCAGAGACTTGTTTTGGCTGTAGATTTAGATGTATATAGAAGTAGAAAGCCGAATTTTCTAGCAAGGAGTGAAGAGTTTTTATATAATAAACTAATAAACATTTTACAAAAAAATTGTCAAAATAAACTATATTGAAAAGATGCCATTAATTTTGAAAGATAATCAAAACAGGTTCATTCGTACACGGCTCTGTTATCGGTCAAATCAATTTATTAAAAACACATATTTGGCCTTTGTTGGTATTTATAAATACACTCTATTTGTGTATTTTACTTAAAGCTTATATGTCTACCTTAATCTGTGCAGAGATCTGTGGATACCATTCAGTTTTTTTACAACTTTTCAAAAATCCTGACGCTTATTTTCCTATTTTGTGATTAGCCTGTTCAAGATTAGAGTTCCCAGGAACATTTACAGCAAAAACGTGCAACAAACCAAATCAAGTTTATTGATCAGTTGTTCTAATAGGATGATAAAAGATTGCCTTTCAACAGTAAAACGATCGCGTGCCCTTATCGACCTCTCAAACCATCCGCCTACTAAAAGACCCAAGCCCTTGTTACAATGACGGCTTATCAACGCGCTTGTCATCAAATTATGCTTATCCATCATCCATTCACAATCTTGTTTACACCTTTTTAAATCTTCACTTACTTCAGCTACTCGCCAATCTAATTAGCATTCTGCCTCGAGTCAAAAATATTAAAAAGCGAGCAAAGGTTGTCTCCATAAGCGCSTGATGGAGCGTCGGATATATTGGCCACGCACATTTCTGCAAGGTTAATGCCGCGTGACATTGATAACCGAAAGATCTTGGTTTATATTTACACGTGTCTTGCTGTGTGGCAGTTTCTAACCAAAGGACTTGTACGAATAAAATGAAATTTCTAAATAGACGAGCCGGAATAACGCTATCTCCTGGCGTGTTTCTATAACAAAATTAGCTGGTTTTGGCAAAAGCCTTAAATAGGTTCATTTGTTGGAGTAGTTTACTCTAGAAACCTGCTTTTATCTCCTGGTGGGATGTTCATCTTTTATTTCAGACAGTATATTTTCGACCTTAATGGTTCAACCGGATGGAGTATGTTTTATTTGACGTTGGCTGATAATCACTTATGTAAACGACCAGCCATTCAAATCCCTCTGAGCCCAATACTGTGGCTGGTTGGAACGCCACGTGATTGAAAACAAACTACTGGACTGGAACGAGAATCAACAGTGGATCGGTAATGATATGATGATTATTGCACGATAAAATATGCTGACAGCAGCTGAGGACGTAAGGGATTGAGCGTATAAATATTGGCTGTGAGAAGGAACTCTGGTGAGAAGCAACGGGAGATTCTTCCCAATCCATTCACCTCAACGCACGCAATATAACTTGTGAGGACTTGTGTCCACTAGTCGATGGATTCATTCATAATAAGCCGATCGATTTGGAAGAGATGAGACAAAATAATTTATGGTACTTATAAGTCCACACGAGCAATCGTGCTTTCCTGTGAAAAACTGACCTTAAAGTTTCGAGATTGAAGAAACTATCACTCGGTTGGATAGCTCAAAACCTCAGCGAGATATCTAGGTCTCTCGGTATAAAGCTGTAGTGTTTTAAGATTTGTATGGGGTTTGATATTCGTCATGCTGCATGGAACTCCTGATAAATACGACGTTTTCAGCTCCATAATGTCATGTGCTGCTGAAGCTTCTCGAAGTTGACACAGCGTCTAGGTCTGATGGTCTCTTTTAGACGTCTCATTGTCTCGAAGTTATGGACGATTCGACGAGGCAAATGGCTACAAATATTACTTGCCTTCCTAGTATTTATAGGAGTTAAGTTCGTATTGCAGGATATTACTCGAATCATAGGTACACCAGAAGTTGGTAATGCTTCACCGAATGTACACGATGTTCAAACGAAAGGATTAAACCAAAAGAATTATAAACTTGCTTGGTTAGGCCACGAAGATGTGAATTTGAACGAGAAAATAAGGACGAAAGGAAAACACGGTGTACGGTACAAAGAAAACCATGATGAATTATCCATTAACAGTGATGACCAAGCAGACCAAAACAAGTCTATGTACACAAAGCGAAAGTTTATCTTTGCTTTCCGCTATTATGAACAGCTTGGCAGAGCCACAAACAACCTTTTAGCATTAACATCTTGGGCAAAGTACAGAGGCAGTTTAGTCGTCTCGCCGTTCGTGAATAATTCCAGAATGTCAGGCCTTAGTAGAGGGGTCAGTCATTTTTTGCGGGCAACCTCTACGATGCGTTTTGGTCCCTTGGATGAATATTATAACGTACCTAAGCTGAATCAAAACCTACAAAAACATGGTTACGGGACTCTAGCAAGCTTTGTTGATTTTGAAAATGAATGTCATCATCGTCTAAATATTGTGATCCATTTTTTATACTCCGATCCCGATTCTTTAAAAGATGCTGCAGAATGGTACAGGAAGACGTTTAAAGAAATGAGAGTTATTTATTCAAAAGCCAAAGTCGATGGCTGGCTTCCTTGTCCTTTTGTTCGTCATTCACGTCTTCAGAAACAGCTTCGTTTCAAAGTTAGTCGATATGTTTGTGTTGATCCAGACATCATTCGCACGCCAGAAGAGCTGGAAGAAAAAGTAATTCAAAGTCGTCAATGTGTTGGGGTAGTCCTATGGAAAGGTACCGGCAAAAGTCGTACCCATTTTCCACTTGCTTCACCTATATCTCATCCGCTCAGTCCATCGGATGTTGACTTTAATCCCACACTTGTGAAAATTGCTAAAGACTTCGTTCGTGAGAAGATCGGATCTAATTTTATTGCTATACATGTACGAATTGAAAGGCATTATTCACGATTAGGAATGAACGTCACCTACCGTTGCATGAAGAAGCTCATCAATAGGATTACGGAGGCTCGCAAACACTTCAAAATCAACAAGATATTCCTAGCTTCTGATCTACCTGTGTATGGCTCGGATACATTCAAACCGCAAGATTCGCTCCTCAAAGATCGTGAAGTGCTCTTAAATTTCTTATTGAAGGAACTCGACTTCCCGATTACATATAAACCTGTTCAAATCTACGATACAGGTTCGATTGCCATTATAGAAATGAATATCCTTGCTGCAGGGGAAAAAATCTACACTTTAGGAGGAGGGAATTTCCAGGAATGGATACTGAATTTATTTCGTAAAAAACAAGGGGGAAAATCGAGGAATATTCATCGATTATGTGAACTTACATAACACATTACAAGAATTAGAAAATATCAAAGAATAAGCACAACATAGCTAACTGGGTATATTGGGTTGAGATTACGACATGTTTTCATTCAAAATAGGTTTGGAATTTAGAAGTCAAATCACATGTTTATCGACGGGCACATCAGTTTACACATCAGACATCCATCCCATTCTTGTTATTATATTCATTCACTATTTGTTTTTCCAAGGATTGCACATAATCTCATACAGTAAGGTTCGTGCAGTATTTATGGACTATATCGATTGATGTCAACGATATAGGCAATCAACAAAGCATCTTCTGTAGTTTTGACGTATTTTATGAATTTTTCATATCCTTGTACTAAGACTTTTTTTCATGAGGACGACAGAATCGAAAAAATTCCCTCTGAAAGACCGCGGTAAAGGCTACTTTCAACATGCGCTTTGTTAGAATCATATTTTCGCTAAAAAAAATATAACTTAAATGCTAAATGCAAGAAACGAATGAATGCAAAACAGATGTAATTTAAAGAAAAAACCAAAATGGTAATTATCAAAGGAATAGATTAACATTTCATAAAAAATCAACTTAAGTTAAAAGCTATTTTTATGGAATTTCGGATGTCTATATATTTTCACAACGAATTCTATATGATATGGATATTAATCTAAATTATGAAGAAATCTTTGAGAGTACGTCAGTTCGTTTGAAAAAACAGGGAGAATTAAGAAAGGACGATAGGAAAGAGTCTCAGATCCTATAGACGGGATTTACGGATGCAATGTTGTGGAGCGAACCAACGTATTTTTTTTATTTCGGAAATAGAATATTAATTCGTTTTCATTTTAAAAAAGCTACAACATTCATCGATGAAACCCTTCTATCTAACATTGACTGGAACAGAAAAGGATTTGGGGTCTAATAACAAGCGATTCAAAAAGGAATTCACCTAGCTTAGAACTATCATTGTTTCGCCCCTCATTATTTATATTATCTATTTATATAACTTTCAATTTGGTGATACGTTTGTATTTAGGATAATTCTTTATTAAAAGATGTCATTCATTCGAAAATAATGAAAATGCCTGATGGTAGTCGAGTGTTTTTGTGTTTTCTTTGGTTAATGCTACGTTAATCTTGGCGAAGCCTTTGATAATGCCGACATGGGAAACTAGTCATTCTAATTTTAAAAGCATTTTTAGTGGTTTGAATTGGAAAAGATTTTGGTCCTTATATTTTTACAGTTTGGTGTATATTGATTTGATTGGTCTCAATAGTGGTCCCTAAAATGTTTCATTAGAATTGGACCGGCGTTCATTTTGAAGCACACAACATAATCCAAAAGTCCCTTCTATAATGGTTTATTTGCACATGGAAGAGAAAGAGGGGCGCCAATAATAAGGCTAGCGCTTCCTGAAATAGGATCAACTGAAATCAAAGATATGTTAAAACACTAGAAAATTAAGAACCTAGCTCATGGATGATATTTGCCGTGGAATTTATCACCTAGGGTACCGCACGTGCTGGATGTTCACTACAGACTTGACGCCACTCGTTTGATTATTTACCAGTGACAAGAAAACCAAAATTTCGTCAGAACTGGAAAACAGATCGAAACCATTATCGGGTAAAATCAGACAACAAAGCAGAAAGTAGACCCTCAGGACTGAATACTGAGTAGCTTGCAGAAAACCGATAAAATGCCAAATATTTACTTGGACGTAAAATCTAGTGATATCAATGAGACTATAGAGGGGTGGGGTTTTCAAAGGAGCTAAAACTACAGAGCCAGAGAGAGAAGAAGCAGAGAGATAGACACCTAAAGAAAAGGAGAAATAGAGAGAGAAAGAGACTCTAACACAAACGAGTAAGTCGAATATTTTCTAGCGATCACTAATAATTTTGTCACTGACATCATTTGGCCGGCGGTGAATGCTTCAATTCTGCTGAAGAGGAACAACTACTAGCCGGATTAAAAGCCTGAGCCTCACTTTTATCAGCGCAACTGAAGCTGCCACCAGCAGAAAATAAGCCTCATTAAAAGAGGGGCTCATTAAGCTCACCCGTTCYCATTAAAAAGGACGATTTCAAGCTTCCGGTACTTTTCCTTGTCAGTCATTTTTCATCTAAWTGACCCATTGAAATGGAATGTTCCTGGCATTTATTTGAACAGCTTATCATACTAAGGCACATCTGATTTTAAATATATTAAAGGATAGAAAGATAAAATTAAGTGGAATGATTATCGATGAAGCGAAATGGATACATGTATACATAGAAACTGATGACTAGCAGGTGCAACTTTGAATATCGCCAAAGAAAATACATCGCCTCGGTTTTTTTTTCTATTCAAAGTATAACAAGAGCGGCGATATCTAAGATCTTATGTGTCGCAGAGAAAAACCTCTTGAAGTCACGACGGTCGGATATCATCCTTGGAGCCTTTAGGCACTCCACGTTGGAATAAAGAGCTTATAGCGACCACAATGCTTAAGGCTTAATTCTAGGGGGTCTGTTAATAGAGCCATTAAATCTAGCTAGCTAGCCATGTACAAAGAGGGTTTTGAGCAAAGGGTGATTAATGACTGGAGACTTTTTGTACAGATTATCGTACGGTGGTATTACTATACATTACGATATATTCGTATTCCCAGGCCTAAACCTCATTTTCGAATAAAATTTTTGCTTTGGGTTAACACTTTGATTCCACTTTCATCGGTCATCTCCAATTCCAAACAAGTTAAACTTTCTGAATAACAAGATTTAGCCTTGTACAACAGCCTTTCTTCAAGAAAATAGTTTTYGGCGCTCACTGCTTGAATACGAAAAGAATTCTCTCTTAATATAATTTGACACACGTGTGCGACACACTAAACATTTTGCGCTCGAGATATGATAATCCTTAAAACAAACTTAAATTTTATTCTTAAAAAAATAAGTTTGATAAACATTTATTAACTCGTTTGAACTACCATCAGTTCAAGGGCAGAGTAAGTGAAGCGGACAGCACGCGCATGCAGCACATAGCACGGCCTTGGCACAGAAAGATCTATTCGAGATCCAGCCATTGGAACTCATTTAAACATGCAGCAGGAACATGCAGGACAAGYTGGGAGAAAATCAATCTCCGAGCTTGTCCATTATTATAACTGACTTCATTGTTTTCTATTCATCCTGCAGCATCASAAGGATGTTTAGAAATGTTAACAGATATAAAAAGTATAAAAAAAACAAAACAAATTACTTATCAAATACCCAGTTTACACTTTCGAGCTTGTGATGAACACACGTGCTTGTACGCATCCGCCGGAGAGGTGTTTGTACAAGCTAGTATTACTTTCAGTTAACAGTAGAAGTGTGAACTTCTCCTGCATGTCTATAAGTACAAAAATGAAAATCATCATTATGTTATAGAGAGTTGAGCCAATATTTTGACTAATTTTTAGAAAAAGATGAAATGAAGGAAAGAATAACAAATGAAAGAAAGATAAAGAAGAAAGAAAGAAARAGCGAAAGGAAGGAAGGAAGGTACGAACAATGATTAAGCAAGATATCTCTCTAAATAACGTCCATATGAATGCAGTATTCATATTTTTCATGCTGTGGTGCAAGGTATCTTCGTTTTTAACCTTTTGGGTTTATATATCTTACACACTCTACTTAATTTTTTTTGATAATCGTATTTTTTCCTTTTTTTTTTTTTTTGCATTCATTACTTGTGGAAAATGAAAACTTTCAACGACGAAACCTTTAAAGGAAGCCGAAGAAAGAGGAAATCGAGGAAAACAGATAGAAAATCTGTAAAAAAAAGCAGGTCGAAAAGAAAACGAATAACAAAGCAAACGAGGTTCGCAAAAAAAAAAAAAAAAAAAAAACCCAAAGCGAAGAAGACAAAGATATCATAGTTATTGTTGATGTTTGGTAGGACTAAATATTTTCTGTTAGTCATCCTCTCCCACGGAGCTTGCTGTGCCTTGCTGTCCTGCTGGGAGAAACTTTGGCTAATCCATCTTATTCTACGCGGTGCATATTACCGTTATGGTAGATATATAATATATACATACACATATGTTTTGTCTTGGAATGCTTGTAAAGGTGATTTTTTTTGGCCGCAATAATCAAAGTCTACCGATGACATAAATTGATTGGCAATGCGACGTAAGCAGATTTTTTGCCATAAATGTTTAGTGTTCAAATCATAGCTTAAGGCTTGCTAAGGCCCGTTGACAGAGAGCGTTTAATGCAACTCTTGTGGCAATTTGCATGAGCTGTACGTGTCTAAATAGGAGCCATAGTTGCGATGCGAGCTACACTGAGAAAAGTCGCAACAGAAATAATCGCAAAATTGCCACAATACTTGGAAAAACTACAGTAAACAAAGAAAAATAAGTAAAAAATAAATAAATAAATAAATAAAAACGTGAACACAACTGTCTTGGTGAAGTCTTCACTGACATGATTCTTGCAAGTTCGAAATTAAAGCTAAAAACTCTGCGGCCTGGACTGCTGTCGATGGCTTGCAATAACATTTTTTTTACTTGAAGAATCACGCTCAACTGGCGATCAACAAAAAGGAACAACGCGAAGCTATTGGAATTACTAAATATGGACTACACCATGCTGTTGCGCAACAGACCGATCCATGTCTATAAATAATAGAGGTCTGTCCATAAACAATAAGATTACTTTATACTAATAACTACGTACCGTGTTCAGGGCCCACCCATCCATGTAATAATAAATTAGACACGAGTAGAAATATTTGTTTTGCGATAAAACTCGATATAGGATCGCGGAGATCGCGGCGAATCTGCGTGAATTTGAATTTTAAAAAAACCTCTTTAAAAAGTTGGAAAAAAGGGAAATCGAAATACAATACGCGTACGACTTCCTTGAGTATATTATTTTAAGCCGAATTTAATAATTTCAATCCGTCAAGCTTGTCACGCCGTGAATTCTCATTGTTTGTCGTGTTCCGGTAGGCAAAAAACCACAATGTTCATAAAAAATAAATTTTTGGAATATTCTCTTGCGATGGAATTGCTAACGCCTTCAAGCGGCGTATTTCATCCCCTAACCCATCCCTCTTCCCCAAAAATGATGAAAAATCAATTATCTGTATGAAATTGCTTCCTACGTTCGACCATTTTTGATTCTATCCTCTAAGAGTGTTATAGACGATAGAGTAGCATCAAAATCAAAAGATAAGAAAACATAAGACATCAATTGTTTTACTTGGCGTTAAATAAATTTCGAAACGCGTCCCACACGGAAAGGAGTGATTATTGGGATTACCCATTGTTGACACAAGCTACAAATTGTTTGCTGGTTATAGCAAGGGTTAATCATCTATGGACTAGGGCCGACTTACCTCTCCCTTAGGCCTCGGCCGAGCCTCCTGACCAGTCTGTAATTCCACCCGGGATAGCGGTTTTGGGGTCGAACTCTCCCGCGTAGCCTATACTAAGTCCATACGACGGTTCAGCACTCGATGTCTGGAAGTATGGTCCTCTCTATAAATCAGAATACAGTAATCCCCAATCCAGTTTACTTAGCAAGTAATAAATTAAATGGGCAAGTCAAGTCATTTTTAGCATTTATCGAAAGGATAACGAAATATCACTGACCGATCCAGCTAAGGCGGGATTTATTATTTGCCAGTCAGAAATAATTTCCATGGCGGAGATGGGAGTACAGTCTCCTTTTTAAATCGAATATTGATATGAATGGTGTATTGAGTGGGGGCGCACGATACACAAGTTATTTACCTATAGGCAACGAGATTAGTAAACGTCTAAATGCAAGAAGAGGCATAAGGACCAATTTCCAATGAAACGGCGGTAAAATCTGTAAACTACTAGTTTTGGCACAAAGAACCAGACCTGACAGAACAATCAATGTAAATCATTTTCAGAAAATTTTAGGTTTTTTTCTTCACGTTTTGAGTTCGGGTTCAAGTCCGTAACACCACAGGAAGCCCAGCATCACGGCACAGCTTATTAACGAAATTAGCGCGTTTGTGAAATACAGAAAATAAGCCTTTTTTGGCTCATGACTTAAAGTTTTTAACTATAACCGTAGCGTGTAGTTACTTACAAGATCTTAAATTAACGAGAACAGATAACAAGGTCAAGCTACCGCCGTTAAAAAACATATTCGGCCTCGATTGTGGTGTGATTTTAAGTGTTTGTACAAACCGCCAATAGCTAATTATCGGCTAGTATTTCCGTTGTTATCGTTTTACCGATTCCTTGATAACGTTAACATAGATAGCAGGTACGGATACTCGCGCAACCTGACACAATCTTATGTCTTATTCAGATTTCCGTCATTAAAAAAGTTAAATCCTTTAAAAAAAGAGGTGCGTAGCAACATCTTCTTTAAATCAAACGTGACCCAAACCCTTCGTTATCGACCGGTCGTTTACGTCTTAGCGACTGACTGGACTATTTCAGGATTTAATATATTTTTTCGTTTCTAGACACTGAATATTTGACTTCATGTCTATTTGTATTTGCAGCTTTTTCAAGAGTTAAAATTGCATGTCAAAATCTCTCCGATCCGAGTAAATATTCTGACAATAATATCTTAAAATCTTGTTAATAATTTATGTCATTAACACGCTTTTCATAATCATAACGAATATACATATATACAACTTCTAAAGAACCGCGGCCAGCTAGGAAAAGGCGAAGTTTCTGCAAGAGGAATTACTAATGACCACTAGCGACACGCCTATAATGTACCCCAGGAATGATATATTACCCCATGCAGTATCAAACTCTTTTTGTCCGCTTCGTATGCGGAATCACAAGACCTTTCACGCTGTAAAAAGAAAGCCTGATACTAAGGGTAAACATGCATAGTCAAGCAGTATAATACCTATGATTACTTCAGTAAGATTCATCCCGGTTTACTTGCCTATCTAAAGAAAGTCAATCATCTCGAAAGTCAACACCAGCTTCCCTACCAACAAAAGTTTGTGGGGAGGGACGCTGGCGTACAAAACGAAAAACCGTTGCCGAGGAGGCTAACATTCAAGTGGCAACCCAAGAAATATTTTCACTCACAGTACGAGTAAATTATGCCCACGTTAACATTGGGCTACTTTGCATTTTCTGATATGCTTCCTAAATTATTTTTTAAGACTTCGAAAATGAATGTGGCGTGAAACGCTATCATATTTATATATATTTTGTCGTGGAAGGGTTTCCGCGACCTGACAGATCTGCAAGACCTCGAATGACAGTGACTTACAAACACTGAATGGCGTGAAGTGCTACATTGGAACTAGTATCTATACATACAAGTCTTTCTAAGAGCCAAGAGATATAAGCCGACAACTGGACTTAGTAGGAGTAGACGCGGGGTCGCATTGCGCTAGGAGTTTTCATTCTGGGTCCAGGATCCCACCCACTTACGGCCAAAATGGGATCCTAAGCATTTGCCCTGGATCTCAGTTTTAGACAAATTTCGGTCAAAATATGTCGAGGGATTTTTTGGTCCGTATGCGCAAACATGCACGACTTCTTGGAGATGTTACAGTGCTACCGTAGACCCAGTGTTTATATACAAGGGCACTATAACTAACTGAGCTAAGCTAAAAGACCCATTCATCAAGAGACAAAGCTGCAATTGAGTTAGCAGCAGATAAGGATTCTAGGTCTTGTTCGTCGGATGAATTGTTTCCTTGGCGATGTGTTATTAGTGGTACACTAGATAAGTATTCAGGGATAACTTCTCGGGTCTTCTTTTTAATCTGTGTTAGAGAATCAACAAGGAATAAGATTAGCGTGTGGTCTAGGCTTGATCTTTCCCAAGACGGACATTCGTATGAAAAAGGACATTTTAAAAAGCAGTAAACAACACGGCATTCTACTCGATGAGGCCCGCAACCACTGTTTTAGGAAAGTTGACCCTGGTAAAAATCCATGTTAGTATGTGACATGGTTTTGGTGTTAGATTACTCACTACATATTTCAAAAGCACGCATTTAGCATTTCCCATCGCGTTTGCTGAGCATGCAAGCGCGATGTTTTGAAATGCTCAATTCGTGCGTTCGAAGCCTACGCTACGCTACGCATCCTCTTTTCTCGCCAAGATATGAACGGATTTCGCGCGAAAATGAAAACCATAAGGGGATGTGAGCTCCCTGGTTAACATCATCATCATCATCGTCAACATCATCATCATCAACGTCATCATCAGCATCATCATCAACATCAGTCATCGTCATCATCAACACCATCATCATTATCATCAACATCATCGTCATCATCATCATCCTCATCACCATCATCATCGTCATCATCAACATCATCGTCATAATCATCGTCATCATAATGCTCAATCCTAAAATATATTATACATATGTTACATTCTAGTGATTATACGCTTGATGTAAAATGGATCCGTTTACCTGTTTGAAAAAGGATTGGCCTAAGAGAGCCTGGGCTTGTGGCCTAGAGAATACAAGGACAGAAAAAAGAATTTCAATACCAAAAGAAAGGATACATAGAATGCAGAATAAAGAGAGTAAAGGGACGATAGAATGCTGACACACACACACACACACACAAATCAAAAGAGGGCGTGGATTTCGCAAATGGGATATACATCAGACTGACCTTGAACTTGGGTTCTTTTGTACACAAATATCTACAATCTGAGAAAAAAGACCAATAATTATGAAGGTCCATTGACAGTTAAGAAGGGTGGAATTGGGAGGGGTTCTTTCAGTGACCGTCATGTTTTTTCACCTAAGTCCAGGTTTTTTCCCTGTATTATTATTTTTTTCCTGTGTTTACCGCCAACATTAGACAAGATATATTAATGAGGTTGCATTAGCATGTAGTGTTAAACCCAAGAGAATGGCATGCGGTATGAAATGAGAAACATTTAGCCCAAGCTGAAGTACTCGATGCTTGGTATATGTGACGTCATGACAGCCATGTTATTATTATTTTTTGCTTTGACCCACGGGTAAAGATTTAGTGCAAGGAGTCCATATATTCCCAGCGGAACGAATGATAACATTCTCACACCATCGAGCCTCGTGTTGTTATAGTTGTTGTTGTTGTTGTTGTTGTTGTTATTATAACCAAGAATTTTAAAACATTTCTCCCAAAAAAGAGTGCGCTGAAAATCACCTGATGGAACGTTGAAGAGAATTTTTTCGGGCTTTTGCTCGTGGTAGCTTCCTTACTGTCTGAAGTAGAGACCATCGTAGTAGAGTCTGTAGTCGTGGATATTGTTGATCCGTCGGATCCATCGAGTCTTGTGTTACACAGCCTTGGTGAAGGGTTCTGTAGCTTTTCTAGGAGGACCTATGAATGGACAAATAGCTTTAAACTCACGGATCCCATTAGAACAGGTAAAACGGCAAGGCATACGGCACTGTCACGATGAGTAATTTACGACATCTATTGAACCAATCACAGCGCGCGTGATCACTATTTATAAAATCAAAATGATCGGCCATAGCACCGTCACCGCACGGCACGTCTGTACTGTGCGTTTTTCACAGTCGGTACGAAAATTGCTCGGATAAGCACTCACAAACTTACTAATCCGCTGGGTAAAAACTCCACACGAGAGTGAACGTCCATCTTTAAACGAGGGCCACAAGTTTACAAGTGCAGTTTCACTCTTAGGTGTTACCCCCTCTATAGACTTTAAATCACTTCACAAATGAATAGCTAAGTCATGGCCCCGTTTAGGCAGAATATGTATTTCACAAGATCTCCTTCATAAAACGCAGAGTATAGTTATTGTATTGATCACCTTAGTGGGAGGTTGTCCAGTATAAGGAGCAGTACCCTGTCCTAACTCAATAGCAAGAATACCAACACTGTAAACATCAGCTGTATAGGTGTAGCCTTGTAAATCCTACATGGAATGAAACATGAATTAAACATGTACGTCACTTCAATGTCCTGTGTGCTAACAATGTGCACCAATCTGTGGGGCAGATTACCATTTGTGTGTTAATCCAGACTTGAACTCAGCATTTAAGGTCCGCGCAGCACTCTAAAAAGTGTGTCTGCAAGGGCGGATCCAGGGGGAGGGTCGGGGGGGGGGGGGGGCGCCCCCCCCCCCGCCTTCTCTCGGGCCAAATGGGCTTCTTGTGGTAAAAATGCGACTGGGATTCCTTTGCCCACAAAATTTACCCCTGAGACCCCCCCTTCAAAAATTTCTGGATCCGCCCTTGGTCTGTAATTGTATTACATGATTGCGTGCGTATTCTTTTTATTTTCTTTCTTATACCTGAGAATTGTTCCAGATGCTGAAAAAGGGGTCCAATTCTGGAATTGTATGTACTTGCTCACAAAAGCATAGTAAAGTTAAGCTCGCACAGCCAATGCACATGCATTTTGAGATTTTGTCTTACATTTGCGTAAGCCTCTGGTCACAAGGGTACGAAGTTTTTACCAAAACAGTTTCATTGAAAAAATTGGAATAGCTACGCCTCGTGGATCTACTCTACTTTGAAAATGTGATGACGCAATTTATCGTCAATAAGAGGACAGACACATAAGCGACTGATGTCAATTTGTTAAACATACCTGTTGTAGTATTTCAGGAGCCATCCATGGTAGAACATCAATAGCATGTAGTGGGACATCAAATGCTACACCTGAGGTATTGGTGTACGGATCTAGCTTGACAGAGTTTCTGAATCCTGACAAACACACAGTGCCATCTGAACCTATCAATACATGACCCCCTTTGATTCCTCTGCAAAAAAAAAAAAAACATGAACGTGTTGAACACACATTTAAAATACATTCAGTAACATAGGTGCACTTACTGCAGTGAACACCTTAGCGACAATCCACTATCATCCAACTGCACCTACGAAAACTCATTCTTCAATACACAAAACTTACACCACCACCAAAAACATCCTCGGAAACCCAGAGGTAAGTTGTGTCGCTCATTTCTGTTCCTCTGGGTTCCCGAGGACACAGTACGCGTATTAGAGTCCACATGTACCTTCCAGAACCATACTAACGCTGTTCAATTATACCTGTGAATAATATGCATTCTTTGTAGATAATCTAAGCCTTGGAAAACTTCTCTCAGAATACAAGAGATAAGGACTTCTGGCATTCCTTCAGGGAAGCTTCCACTCAGGATATCAGAACAAGAACCTAGTAATAGAAGACATACAATACATGAAGCCACAATAATTTCTTTCTTGCAACAAAACTATGAATGCTACTTGCATTTCTTTGGCCAAGAACATCATGAAATTGCCAGAAACATTTCAGATATTTTAAATTTATTTTTGTGCTTTACACAGCAGGAAAAAATCTCAAGTTTTTCCTCCTGACATATCATGGTGCAATGTTGTTTGCACTAATGCATTTGCAAGAAGCATTGCATGTAGCAGCTGCTTTGCTTCAAGGCTTCACTAAGATGCACTGTACATGTTACTTCCCAGTTTTCCTCTCATTTCTGTTTATTTGTTTTTCATCAATAGTTTATCATGAAACCAATAATAATTTGAACTCCTGTATAAACTCTTTTAAAACTCCCATAAGCTTTGCCGATCACAGAGATAAAGTATTTCGAATACTCACCGTATGACATCAGAGGAAAAACTGTCCACAGCTCTTGTCTATCGATAAAAGCACTAAAGAGTGGTAGGATGTTGGGATGATTTAGGGATCTTAGCACTTGCACCTCATGCTGAAGAGAGTCAAAACAATCCTTTATTGAATCACATATGTGCTGCTATTGGTGGTGTGCAACCCTTCTCATGAAAATAAAGGATAAATGGTGGTCATGACAAAAGACAACAAGACCGAATCTTGTGTCAGTCAACCAAAATGATGGCAGGCAAGACAACACATGCAACTCAATAATCATTTTTATAAAAAATTATTTTTTTAAGAATTTTTTTATGGCATGTGATAAAACAGTAAGTCTGTAAACCATACTAGAAAATATAAGCACAAGTAGGATGTTCCATGGTGTGCCATGAGAGAGTATTGCATAACTAGTGTGCACTCTACTGACAGTACTCACCTTTAAGTCTTCTAGCTGTTGTGAACTTTGAAAATCAACATCTGTTTGTTTGACAACGATGAATGTTGATGATGGTTTGTGTAATGAAACAGAAATCTTGGCTAAACCATCAAAACCATGACCTAGAGAAAAAAGCAGAAGAAGATGTAACTGTGTGTTATTTCCAAAAATAGTTGAGTAAAGCTACACTGTACCATACCAAAATGAAGCTATTCGACAGTGTCTAGATCTTCTATTAAATACGTTTTTTAATACATGCACACATCAGCCATACATATTTGCCACTCTTTTCACTGCTGTGCACTGATTGAGACAACAGTCGCTATAGGGAACACACTGCTCACAATCAGAGAATATAAAGGTATGAATGCATATTCACAAGGATAAAAAGCATAACTGTTTGAAGAGCTAGGTTCTGTATCTGAATTTCGATGAAAGTGAATTAGCAATACCTACCAATAGTAGTTGTGATTCTGTAGTCATGTGGGTCTGGCTTGCAATCTAAGAATGGTACAAGTATGCCACTGCCCAAGTGGTCACTGGACATATTCAACTAAATGAAAAGAAATAAGCATCAATGAATTATTATTGAGATATTTAAAAATTATTTGCTGAAGGTGAAATAATTATTGTCTCAGAATGACTGTCTGCTTGACCAATCATAGCGACCCCCTCAATGAGTTTCTGCTCTTGGGGTTAATATGAGTCAAAATACGTTTAAATTAAAAAAAATCGTAGAGCAAAACTTTATATTTAAGTCTAAAATAACACTAATTTTAAATTATTAATGAAATATTGTCAGATTATGCAAGATGTATTCCAAAGCAGGAAAGCCAAAATGTTAACAAAAGCAACCGCAAATCAAGAGGTACACAAGTATGATTTTCATAGTAAATATTTTCCATAAAACACAAAAAATCTGTCAATACATAAACCCAAAGTACGAAAACTGGAGTACATATTATTCCCTGCTAAGGGAATAATACAGAGTGCCTTATCCATGCCTTTGTCAGCTCCCGTTTGGATTGCTGCAATAGCTTGCTGTATGGCTTGCCCAAAGCTGAGATCGATCGTCTGCAACATATACAAAATTCAGCTGCACGTCTTGTTACAAAGTCCAAGAAGAGTGATCATGTGACGCCACTTCTTAGAGACCTGCTCTGGTTAACAGTCAGAAACAGGATAATATTCAAGATCTGTCTCCTTATGTTCAAGATTTCCAAGGGTGCTGCTCCTATGTATCTTTCCGAGTTGATTCAGCCTTACAAGCCTACTCGTAACTTGCGATYGTCACACAAGTCTCTTAATGTGCAGTACCTGCATCCCGATCAGTTACCTTTGGGGATCGAGCTTTTGCTGTAGCAGRCCCAAAAATTTGAAACTCTTTGACAGAAGATCTAAAGAACTCGCAAAACGTTGACATTTTTAAGTCAAAGTTGAAGACACATCTTTTTAATACTTAATTAGTTTCATTCAGTATATACATATTTATAGTATTTTTTATAATTTTCTTAGACTTTTTTGTGGTTTTCTTACCTAGTTTACTTTTCCTAATGATGACTAATATTTAATGTTATATTGTATATCTCTTATATATATACATTTATTATTATTAATATTATTATTTTTCTTTTTTTTTATTATGATATAGCTTCTTGTAAAAAGTATTGAGTTTTTGAAATGCGTTTTTAAAGAAATAAAGTATTATTATTATTATCATTATTAAGGATTCTTCTAGAAGATCAGGGAGAAGAGATATGGGGGCACACAACCCAGAACAGTAGAATAATTAGTAGCGTAAGTCATAATAAAAGTAAAACTAATACCCAAATTCCAGACACCTTGATTTGTCAGTTATAATATTGTATATTGATTTAAATGATTTCATAGTCAAAATGGCTTGCTATAGTATATTGGTATTATTATTTATGGTTAAGTTATTGAGTCTATTGTCTAAGATGTAATAAAAAGCCATTTTCAGTACCTATGCTTAGTTACTACAGGGCCCACAGTAATTGGATATGCTGTTGTGGGGTCCCTCCCCTCACGGGAAAGACAAAATAAATAAAAAAATAGAAACATTGCCAATTTACTTGAGAGTTCAAGGTTTGCTCTTTCCCAAACCCTCACTTTGAAAAGCAGACATAAACATTAAAATAATAAAAGTTGGTGTTGTTTGTGGTTAAATTACCATGCAATTAATAAATCAAAATTTCAAGCTTTAACTATGCTGTTCGTACTTTTTGTATTTCAATGACTTTAAAAAAAATTCAAACAAAGAATTAAATTAATTAACCAACAATTAAACTCAAAACTACAGTAATAAGAAGGATATATACTTGGGAAATTCCGACTAATTGTTTTGAATTAATTCCTTAATGTTCTGTGTCCATAAAGTATCTTCAGTTATTATTCATACAGTGTATATATCAATAATTATTCTACATTACCCTAATACCTATAGCATTTCTTTCTTTCTGCACAAATAAAACATGATTTTGCTTTTTAACTATTAGATGAAATAAGCATCACCGAATAAAGCCTGAAATTAAAACCACTATCACATTATTCTATTAATTTTTGTTCTTCTATTGCTCTAATAACAAAAAGGCTTGTTGGCTGCAATAGCCCAGGGCTTATTCTTGAAGGTTTACAGTATTCAAATACCATTTTTTGAGGTTTATGCAAATGAGATTTCTGTTTTTAGAGATAAAAGTACAGCAAAACCACTATTCTTAATGTACAATATTATTTAAAAGACAAGGCACTTTTAAAATAAATTTTTGACCAGGTCCAAAAAATATCATGTTCTGAAGATGTTCAATCAAATGACTAAAAAAAGTGACAATGTAAAAAACATTTATCCAGTATCTAAAATTAAGATGTACAGCTTCTCTATCTATTTTATTGAGGAAGTATTGTTGAAACTAGCATCATAGAATTTTAGACAAATGTTGAAGTTCTATCAAGCTGAGTACCAAGTACCTTGAAAGATCTCTGTGAGCCAAACCTCTTCATGATCCAAAATTAACCAAAATTTGAGTAATTCTCCACCACAGCAATCTACATGTAGCTAGAGAGTGTCTTTTAGTCACACACTGAAATGTTTTTACCAAAGATATCTCAAGTAGGGAATAAAAAACAGCATAAAAGGAACCAAGCTATTTGCACTGGTGTTCAATATGACAAGAATAATATTATATTAGAATTCCATATATGAATTGAGATGAACAGATAAGATTTTGTTTATATTGAGTATTGGTGAAATATTATTCTAATTTTCACCTCATCTGTGGGTTATTGCCCTAAGGACACGACATTCAATTGGTTAAGAAAAAATACACCATGTTGTTTGTCAAAAAAAAACACATTACATCTGTTGTAGCTCAGTATATTACGGTTGATGAAAGTAATGTTAGAAAAAATCATTGTCGCAACTAATGACATGTGTTTTAGAAATAAATTATAACAAAAGTCTTTTTATTCCAAACTATTTGCTGTGGATATATAACAATCTTTTATTATTCTAATCATGACATTTTATATACCAGCTTGATTTTCTCTGTATAGTTTTCTAAAATGCTTGCAAATACAAATATTCTAACTTTTACTAATTAATTAAACAATATGAATATATTATGATTTTAAAAAATGGATAAGTTAACTATACTTTTTAACATAGAAAAATATATTTTACAAATTCAGACCTGATGCTTTCCCATTTAAGAACATGTGTCATTTTCTCTGGGGGATAAGATTACTTGTTTGAGTTGGTACCTTCAAGTCTCACCAATTTATTATAATCTTATTCTAGAAATGCACTCAAACAGGTAAATAAAAAACTATTTTTAAGGGAAAAACACAATGCTTTTTAAAATGGAAAAAAATGTGATTTCAAAGCAAAAAAGGTCTTGACTCATGGCTTTTAACATTCAAGAAAAAAACCTGTTTGTCATTATTTATTAACAAGATCTGAAAGAAAGTAAATGGCATCCAAGATAAATGATCTGGTCTTGATCATGTGTTGAGAGTAAAGTCATGTCAACAACTAACAAAATATACTTATTAGTTGTGAATACAACATGTTTAACATGCTGACAAATGATATGCCTTGAAAGAAAGCCAAATAAAAATTGAAAAAATATTTAGCAGAGCTCAACTATATATTCATAATTAATGTGGTGTTGGGTCAACCGAGCAAGGGCGCTAGGACAGACGGATTGGGTTATACATAGGTGTGTTTGCTTCACTTATTCATACATGTAGATACTAAAAAATAGTTCACTGATCAGTATGTTTATTTCTAAAAAGATAGTAATTAGGGCTCACTTATTTTAGAAGTAAACGTCCTTTCCAACCAACGGTTTTTCTGGTTTGAATCAGCTGTACGCTCTGAGTATTTTGCACTTTTTGTGCCAAGCAGCGCTGGCGTCACTTCATTAGCAATTACTTTCTTTAATAAGTAAAACAAATAAACTTACCTTCAGTACAGTAAAATAGACTGGGGTAGGAAAGCAAGAGCAGTTCTTTTGTGCTCTCGTCTGCTCGGATAATCCAATTATTTTGGCATTACATAGGGCACTTTGTTTACACAGTGATGACAGAAATGACTTTGGCGAATGCAAAACGAAGCCTGAACCAAGGGTTTGTTCTTCGTAATACGATCTCGAGGTCAACACACAAACACACCTACATATATAACCCAATCCGTCTGTCCTAGCGCCCTTGAATCGAGAGTCTGAGTTTCTGAATAATAATTGAATTCGAAAGTAGGAATAATAATGTTATTCTAAATTCACAAGTGTTGTGCACAGTCATTAAGCAGTTAGGGATTGGTAGAACATGATAGACATGTTAGGAGAAGAGCAATGTTAATTGCAGCATGCTTCTCTGCAACCCTTATCTATGGGTTATGTATAGCTATATACAGTATGCACATATAGCACATCACAGAGAACAGAACAGAGAACAAGTTTTCTTTGTATATGTTTTTAATCATAATTTATTGTGTAGTTCCAGAAATTGTGTAATTTCCAAGGGGAACGGGGGTTCAGAGAAAGAACACAATTACAGATTTTGTATAGAAAATTATAATTTCCAGGGGTAGGGGGTATGGATAATTTAAAAAGTTTTGCAATGTTTCGGCTGTGGCATCACCTGTGTGTCTATATAAACATGTAGCTTTCACCACACATTGGTGATTTCAAAAAATTACACCGCCTGTGCAACAAAAAATAACTTGATAGCGTGATTCTGCGACTTTAGGAAATTATATAAATCTTAATTTTATAAATACTTTTATTTTACATTGTGAAAGGTGGAGTTATTGCCAAGTTTCCCTAGCCAAAGTCTAATGTTTGTTTTAAGTATACATTGCACTACACATTCATTACCACTATATTTAATGTCTTAAGCACACAATTCTCATCTCACATGTTGATTCCCCAGGAGATGGGAAAACCAGGCAACATGGAATAAAACCCTTGTGGCAAGGAAGAGAACAACACATCAAACAAACTCTTTTCAAATGTGCTGCAGGAGGACTTTAACCAGAGACTCAACCAAAAGGATTCAGTGGTGACAGGCCAACATTTTACTGTTATGCCACCATTACCACCCATGTTGCATAGCAAAGTGCTTATCAATAAGTGTTTAATATAGCTGCACACAACACAGTGTTTATTCATTTTATAAAATACAAATTATAATAGAATTTTTTTGGATATGAATGAAATGAAATGAAAAAATTGAGAATGGGCTTGAGTCCTATGTGCTCTCATAATTGAAGCACAGGTGCCCAACCAATCAGAAAGCAATATTTATTCCAGTTATGATACCATACCTGTTGCTCAGCACTATCTTGAGGCTCTGGAGTGGCTGGTGCAACAGCTATATTGGCCTTGTCTACACAGGCACACTAGGAGACAAACAAATACATTATCTAAACAAATTAATTTTTTTAAAATTTTTTAAGCTTAAAAGCTATAATATACATTATATTAAGCTTATATTTTAAAATTGTCTGTTCCTGTTTTCTTTTGATAAAATAAAAGCGGCCTCGCTCACCAGGAACTTAAAGATAATTTGTTTGTATAAATACAAACTAGACCTAAAAAATATACATTTCTTGTCCACAGAAACGATACTAGTAGTTTGCTTTCGTTGTCATTCAGTTTGCCAGGCAAACTAGTAGTCAGTAGCTATTATATTTCTTCAAAAGCTATAATTTTGTCCTTTATAAAGAAAATAAAACCCATACAGTGTAAGAAAAGTCCTAAACTTACCAAATGAGACATGTATCCATTCAGTTAGTCAGTGAAGGATCACTACAGTCAGCCAGTCAACCATCTTTCCCAGCTGCTGTCTTTATCAGTTTCTCACTTTTTGACATGAGATAGTATCAGAAAATAAAGATATTAACATAAAGCGATAGCAAAATGACCTCGAGAAAGGTTCTAGCAGTAAAATAAAACTTTCAGAGAGGTTAAAAGATGATTTTTCTTCAGCCTGCACGTTTTCAATCGGTACAGTGAGGTGAGCAAAGTGTAGACAACAGAGGATGTTGATCAACCGCTGGTCAGTGTACTGTGTAGTTTACAATTGATTTAAAACTAGTAAATTTCACTTCAAAATCATGTAATCCTCGGTAGTATAGTGGTGAGTATCCCCGCCTGTCACGCGGGAGACCGGGGTTCGATTCCCCGCCGGGGAGAGGATTACTTTTTTTTCTTTCTTGATCTCTTATTTTGCCCTTTCCCATTGTCTTACTTTGCTTACAGCGAATAGTTTCTTATGAGCAATAAAATGCTTTTTAATGCCAACTTTTAAAAGAACTAAAAATAAAACAGAAAACTAGTAATAAAAAAAGTAGCATAAATACTAAAAATGAAAATAATAAACAATTGATAAAAGCAAAAAAAATTTTAAATTGAAATTTTAACATTGATGCAGGACATACAAATGTCATTACAGTAAAGTTAAAGATTTTTTTACTTTTTTATTTGTTAAAAAAACCACTTTATATTCATAGTGGGATACCTGTGGTGTAACCTTAGTCTGAAACAAAATGGAGGAACACTGTGAGAGTTGGTAAGATAGTTATTATTGCAAAAGAATACTTCTTTGTCCTAGTCTCTAATAATATTTTGCAGCTCTAGAAAATAAGAATGTCTTATATTCTTTTTAGCAAGCCTATGCCGAGTACGTATATCAAAGGGTTTCACGATGAACAAGCAGTTTCCAACATGGAATACCAACCCCTTGGAAATACAGGACTACAAGTTTCTGTTTTAAGTTTTGGTAAACTTAATCTTTAAGTTTTGGTAAACTTAGACAATATCAGATATCGGTAGAGTTACACTCTATTGTGTTAAAATGATTGTTTTATTTGGGTCACTTTCTATACGTGTCATTCTTTTGACCAACTAAACTGCCTCAACTTGCACTGTACTAGCATGTCACGTGACCGTCTACTTTTTGCTAGTAATATTCAAGTCTTGGCCCACAACTTTTAGTAATTTTGAGTAGTTTCAAGCATAGTTAATAGAAGCATTAACTATGTTTTAATTAATGTATGCTACCAGTCTACTCTTTTTCCAATTCTGATACCCCCCCCCCCCCCCCCAACTTTCAAGAGTACTTCGCTGATCTCGTTATCTACTGACAAGGTGGTAGTATTATTTGGCTTGGGAAGCAATGAACTGGACAAATATAATGTATTGCAATGTGTAATTCATTGTATTTTCATTCCTTACATATAGGAGCATCATCTTTAGGTAGTGTATTCAGAAAAACTGATGATTCAGAGTCAGTCCAAGTTGTGCATCATGCACTGAAGTCAGGCATTAACCTGATTGACACTGCACCTTGGTATGGACATGGAAAGTCTGAAAACGTTTTGGGTCAGGCAAGTACTACTCAAGAAACACAAAATATGGTCTGTAATTTATGTAAGTTCCCACTAATTCACAGGAAAAAAAACCCAGGATTCCCAAATTGGGAATTGTTGGGAATTTCCTTGAATTCCCAATTCGAACACCAACATTAGGATTTATTGTTGGGAATTTCCTTCTAATACCCAATAGAAAAACAAAATTCCCAACAAACTAACATTAGGAATCAGTGCCACTTTCCCAATTTCGTTCTCTCTGGGAATTGGATGGGGATTCGTTGGGAATTCAAGGAAATTCCCAACAAATTCCCAATTTGGGAATCCGTTTTTTTTTCCCTGTGTAAATGTGAAAAGATCGAGAGATTTTTAATTTTTTTTTAAATTTAGGGTTTTAAAGCAGGGTGTGGAAGGGTATTGTGGGAGCCAGGGAACAGATAAAATGTAGCACAGGATCCGGGAAACTAGAACAAATCTTACATCATAATTCAGGATACTGGCTGTGACTTGGGTGTTGCCGAATTCAATGTCCGTGATGTGGGATTTTGCTTTCTGATTTTTGGGAAAAAAATAAAAACATTAATAAATAAAACAAAAATTCCAACGCCTTTGAATATGATAAATGTGAAAAAAGAAAGCAAAATATCGCAGGAAGCCGGATTTCGTGAAAAAAGAGTGCATGATTCGGAATTCGGACCCCCCTTGCTTCCAGGCCCTGTTTAAGATCCCAAAGGGGAACCTACAGTGATGTGATTCTATTGGGTTACCTGTGTCCATAGCTAGCCCAAAATTCAAAAACACCAAACGCCATGCCCTATGAAAAATGCATGTTAGTTATATTTATTTATTGTTAATTTTTTTCAGGCACTTAAAGGAATCCCAAGGGAGTCATATATTTTGACAACAAAGGTTGGTCGTTATCTGCCAGAAGTGGAAAAGATGTTTGATTTCAGTGCAGAAAGGGTGACCAGAAGTGTAGATGAAAGCCTGGAGAGACTGGGCCTTAGTTACATTGATATTATACAGGTACATTGTAAATGATTCTATAGTTTGTATTACTTTCAATTGTTAAATATTACATGGCTTCTTGTGAGCTTTTAAATTTGATACCAATAGTTATCCATCACTTTGTCAGTCTGTTCCATCCATCTATCCATTCCATCCATCCATCCATCCCTCTGCCCATCAATCTATGTCTTTGTCCATTTCTTCATCTGTCCATCCATCCCTCCGTCCAACAATCCATCTGTTTGTCCATCCCTTTATCTGTCTATCCCTTTATCCGTCCATCTGTCCATCCTTCCATCTATTTCATTTATTTAGCCATCCATCCCATCGTTTTGTGTATTAGTCCATTGTTATATATTCTCCATCCTGTCTATCAATCCCATATACTCATATCCATTCATCCCATCCATCTATGCAACTATCCATTCATGTGCCTGTTCTGTTTTTGCTTTTTTATCAAATATTTATTTATTTACCATAGGTGCATGACATGGAGTTTGCCGATTCATTAGATATTATTATCAATGAGACCCTACCAGCTTTGCAAAAGGTAAATCAAGATATTTTGTTTACATATCCCAACTTCTGACAGTAGTCCAGGATTACCTAGTCTCCCTCGCAACCGTTTTTAGTGTTGGTCGTCACGCAATGCTCCCTGCATTGCGTGACGACCGACACTAAAAACGGATGCGAGGGAGACTAAGGATTACCCATCAATACGATAATTAATTTTATCACAGTTTCAAGTCTTCAAGTTTTGCGCAAAAACTTTGCTAATCGGGGAGACCTTCATTAATAGAGTAGATCACTATGATGCTGGAATATGGACAGCTAATTTTAAATCCCTATTTGAACTCATTCATTTATAGGTTAAAGAGCAAGGCAAAGTAAAGTTTATTGGTATAACTGGGTATCCATTACAGAATTTCAGGTATTATTTTGATAATAATAATATTATTATTTGATTAAAAAAATCTGGTCCACAAGATTTGTAGTCAGTCGACATCCATATTTTGCATTCTCTTTTCTTATTAAAGATCCATGTACATACTTCAATTATTTTTTTCTTCTCAGAACAGTCATAGAGAAGAGCAAAGTTCCAATAGATACTGTTTTAACGTACTGCAGATGCACCATGCATGATACAGAACTGCTAGAATATTTACCATTTTTAAAGGTACAGTACAACTAGGATTATTTTCATGCTATATTTTCAACTTAAATAGCTTTTGGATTTTTCTAAAGTATCAATGTTCATTTCAAAACATATTGGCTTGATGACATGGGATTTCATTATAATGATGTCAATAAAATGTTACATTTATAAATTGCTATTATTTCACTGGATGATGGTGGAGGAAGGGAGGGGGGAGGGGAGGGGGAAGATCAAGCATCTCATTTCCAATGAAGTAGGCAATAGACCCAGGCTCAGTCCACACTATGCCAGATGAATTTGAATCCGAATTTTTATTTATTCGGTTCCATTTCGAAAATTCGTTTTCGGTGAAGAATTGTTCCGGATTCGCCTGGACTAGTGTGGATGGTAGGCCTAACCGAATAAATAAAAATTCGGATTCAAATTTATTCGGCATAGTGTGGACGGGGCCCCATTTAGCTTGGGTGTAACACCCCTTGTTGTGGGGACAGGAGAAAGTTTCCTGTAATCACACCATCTTACTGTACGTTGCATGACTTTTTGATCTCAGGAACATGGCATAGGAGTAATCAATGCATCACCCATATCAATGGGTCTTCTCTCTCATCGTGGGCCACCTGCATGGCATCCTGCTTCAAAAGAGACTAAAGAAAAGTGTCGACAAGCAGCTGAATATTGTCAGGTAAGGGATATTTAATCATTGGCTAGTATTCACAGGTCTTGACTTATAGTATGCTACACTATAGTGCATTTCTATGTCTTTAAGTATAGCTTAGAGTTTTTAAAATTTTATCGCAGTTGGATCAGTTGGGCATTAAACAGTTGTGCAGTTCATGGGTTTTTCTACATTTTGTTATCACTATTCAATATTAGAAGGTCATAAAAAAACTCTGACAATATTAAGGAAGATATCCTGGCAATGACCAGCTTCAATGTCTACACCTTATACTAATCTCTGTATGTGTAAAGCACCTTTAAGAGTATAATAAAATGCAAAAAAGATGCAGATATGTTGATAAATCATATTTATTATCAATGTTTCTTTCAAGGCTCAGGGTGTGGATATCTCCAAGCTGGCCATGCATTTTACACTAAGTGTGCAATCAATACCTACTACATTGGTCAGCACTGCAAGTCTAGAAAACCTGAATAAAAACATTGCTTCAGTGAATCAAAAGCTCACTACAACTGAAGAGCAGGCTCTTAGTCATGTTATAAACAAGTAAGTTAAAAGTCAGATATTCTGGACATCTGAACAGCTCTCCCTTGTGAGCTGCAGGGCTGTCAACTCTCCCGGATAAACTGGGAGTCTCCAGATTTTGGACCGTATCTCCCGGTCTCCAGATAAAAGTCTCAAATCTCCGGGATAATCGCCGAAGCTGACCATTTCTTGTGAGACTCGACTTTCACAAACATAAAATTCCAATTATTATTTATTGTTGTTCGTGTTATTTTACATCGCTAACAAAATCAAAACATTCCTCATAAACTGTTCTTGCAAGCAGGCCATTGTAATAATAAGTGATAATCTGATTGGTCAGAAATAAACCAATCACATCAAATGTTATAAAGCGGTCAATCATATTATAACATCATCCGCTGTGACGTCATGTCCCTTCCCTATCAATTCTCCAGATTTGAATATCTCAGGGGTTGACAGCCCTGGAGCTGTAGAAGTACCAGTAGGTCGTATCTGTGATTCAATTCCCAAAAATATGTTGTTAGATATTCTGTTAGTCAAATATTCTGGACATCTGTACAGCTCTCCTTTTTGAGCTGTGATCTTAAACCAAGGGTGTTAGTAGAAGTACCAGTAGGTTGTATCTGTGATTCAATTCCCAGAAATATGTTGTTATGTCATCACTGTGTGGTATCATAATTCATGGACATTATGGCACTGACCCAATATCAATACACTTTATCACTGACTAAAGAAACCTTTGTTAGTCTCCATTATGCTTATAAGAGCATTTTCTCTGGAATATCGGGTTTTACTCCCTCTGCAAAAACCTAACATGCTACATGCATTCCAGTTTGATCTGTGAGTGGCATGCATATATTGTTCATGCTTGTGTTGCAAGTGCAAGGCACTGAGGTCATATTGTTGAATTTCATAAATTATTATTTCTTATTTTTTCAGTAATATTTTCATTGATTGCTTGTAAAACTCATGCTGATCAATAACCTAATAATATGAATGTCATCATTGTGATGTTTATTTTACTTGTTTCAGTATATTCAAGCCATGTGGCAACATGTCATGGGAAGGCATTGAAGTAGCCCAGCACAGAGAAAAATTGGAAAGCATCAAAAGTGGTTCACATTAATTTGAGTTGAATGCATTCTGATTATCCTGCTACCACACCTCCTTTTCTCTGACAGATCAATTGGGAGGGGGGGGGGGGGGGGGGGGGGGGGTGTTTTTCTATACTTTTACCAAAAGTTAAATTTGAATCAAATTTTATTAGCAACACATATCAAAAATTAATGTTCAAAAACATATATCAATGAAAATCTGTATGACAGATCTAAGAATCAAAAACATAATGAATTTGTTTATGAAATATAAATACTATGATATTATAGAAATTTATAAATAGTAGAAAAGTGTTAACATTTTATAATTATACGATCATACAGCCAGACCTTCCTGACCATACCTGAATAATTGCATTAAAAATGTACAGCCATATAAATGGAAGCCTAGCTCATTACAGATTCCTTTAAGAGACACTTGTGTATCTCCTGGCTGTGGTATTCACATTAAAGAAGACCTCTAATGTTATTTGTGTAGCGCCAAAAGACTTCAGATGGACACCTCTCTAATAAGGGTCAGCTTGGCTTTTCTCCATCAGTATCCATATTTGAGAAGTTTGTTTTGGCTGAACTGGTTATCAGGAAGGTAGGAGCATACTTTTTTTGAAGGGGGTAGGGGTGGGGTAAAAATGAAAGTTAGCCCATATTGCCCCCCTGGCTCCTATGTCCCTGGTAATGCTTTTCTCAAAACTTGTCTACTGCTTTTAGTTCAATTTCTCTATGGGAAAAGATAGCTTCTAGTCTTACTTTGTAAAAACTGAAAATTCAATTCTTTTAGCTTAAATTACAAAAGTTATAAATTCCATTCTAGCTGAAATTCTTTATCCTTGCAGGCTGCACATCATAACATGACCTTAAATAATTTTATTGCCATTGTTTTGATTGTTACGCGTTGATCAAGACAACAGTCACGACAGGGAAATCTAGCAATACACTGCTCTCAATCAGAGTATTGTAAAGGTACCAACCATGTATTTGATTGCCGACAGTCTATTGCCTGTGATTTCCCTGGTAGTGACTGCTGTCTTAATCAGCACGTAGCAATGAAATCAGTAGTAATGAATTTAATTAAGACATGTTATGATGTGCTTGGCACACAGATAGCTAACAGACATTACTGAGTCTGTCTCATAGTCAAAGCAGTATATTGAATTGTTTTTGAGAGAGGTGTGTGTTACTCGTCCCTATATTCTTGTGCTCTCATCCCTAGAGTGGCTTGTCACTGCAATCCAATCAACAGTCTTGTAATCAAAGATATCAGGTCTTCTAATTGGTTCTAGCTTGTCTTTATCAGGGCACCAGGGAAGCTGTTGCTCTATTCTCTTCATCAAGGCACTATGTGCTGATCGTCCCTTTTTGTAAGCCTATAAAAAAGTTTTGAACAGCAATGAATRTTTTTGGCTTGAATGTTATATTTCACCATTTTAGACATTGTGTCATTATCTCTGGAATAAGATTCTTTGTTTGAGTTGTATCCATAATTCTTGTTTCTCTCCATACACAACTGTTACTCTAGGGAATGAATGACAATGTTATCTGAAATGGGAAAATATTCTGCCCAAGTGGTATATTATAGAATGATGGCAGGAGGGGCAGGTACAGGAAGAGGGGGGTGATTGAGTGGCTAGCCATCCCCCCTTTAGACTTAAAATATTAAATAGTGATGTGAAATGAAATCTAAAATGAAAGCTATATACACTGGATCAAAATAGGTGACAAATTGAAATAACTATATTGCTCTGGACTAACTAGCCTCATGTTCATGAAAGATACCCATTTACATTGTTTGCCATATTTCGATTCACAATGTCTATTTAACAGCCACTCCCTTGAAATTGTCTTGAATCTATAAGTGGATAAAATTCTGATGATGATAATTATCATGACTATAATGATGTTGATGGTATATATGATGAAAATGATGGTGGTAATAGTGATGGTAATAAAAGTGAGGACAATAATTGTTATTATTTTAAAAAGTAATTTTTGATCTAAATTTGCAAGTCTGACAGCGTTAATGATTGTTCAATGGCACAAAACCCTAACTTACCCCAGTAGGTAATATGAGTGTGACATCCCAATCAGGTTCCTGAGGTTTGTATGTTAAAAGTTGTTTTCGGTATCCATCAGTTTTCATGATTTCACTATCTTTATAAGCTGTAATTGAAATATTAAGTTAAGTCAGGATGTATCATTCATAAGAAAATTGTCACTATATGCCATCCATAGTTATGTCTGTATGAATGGCTTCCATTACCAGCCACTTTAATAATTGATAACTCAATTAAGGGCAACTCCAGGAATTTTTAACAGGGAGGTTCAAATGTTTACTTCATGAAAAACTTCAAACCTGTGGAAAAACTAAGGTTTTGGATAAAACAATTGGAATCTCAGGTATGACAGGGGGGTCTGGACCCCTGGATTTGATTTTGCTCATCGTCATGAAACTGGCTAATGACAATTCATTTTCAGCTATTCAGTGATTTTTCTAGCCTCAAGGAAAATTAATAATGGTCATAATACATAGCAGTAGACATGACTGCTATTCACCAATAATTATGCAACTCTGTTTCATTGGTTATGGATAAAATATCACTCTAGCTTTTCCTTCAGTAAGTAAATGAAAAATAATCCAACAAGTGACTTACCTTCACAAAGGACACGAAGACCATTAGACTTGGCTATTAGACCCTGTGGGTCATGAGGGTATGAAGAGTCAAAGTCTGGTATTCCATATTTCTTTGCAAGCTGAAACATAAATCAAAACAAAAAAATATTTTCCATTTTTTGGGCTTTCTTTTTTTTGCACATTGTGGAAGAAAAATGAAATAGGAAAAAAGAAAGAATAGAGGAAAGGAAGAAGGCAAAAAAGGAAGAAATTAAAGATAGAAATGAAAAGGGGGAAAGGAAAAGGAAAATTTAATTAAAAAAAGTTACACATGAACTTGGACACCTAAATGGTATTCTCGTAAGGGTGAAATCTACAGAACTTTGAAATGGCTTTTCCCTGGTATTTTGGAGAAAAATTGTTCAACTTTAACACATTATGAAGGAAAAAATGAAATAGGAATGAATACAGAATTGAGGAAAGGAAGAAGGTAAGAAAATAAAGAAAGGAGAGAAGGGAATGAAAAAAGGGGGAAACTGAATTTAAAGAAAAAATCTTTTTAAAAGTTACGCATGAACGTCTGTGGCACTAAAATAGTTTTCTCGTAAATACATGGAACTTTGAATGGCTTTTCCCTGATATTGTGAAGGGGGGRAAAATAATCAACTTTTACTGACCTTTGTAAAGGTATCTGCCCGGAATACAGGAAGATCCGGATTCCTATAAGGACCAGGATGAAATTTCCCATCTTTAACAAACATTATCTTATCAGCATATGGATCTGGTATCCTAAATTTTGTAAGAAAGGGTTTCTCTGCTGGACCTTCCTTTTGTAATATCTTAGGAAGTGGAACCCGTTCGAACTTGATCTTTTCTCGCGTTCTCTCCCTTTGTTCTCTCCTCCATACATCTTCATCATAATCTGGAATCATAGACTCTCTAGCATTACGTGTTTTAGGTTTGGGTTGATATAACTGGAGTCTGAAGTCCGGTGGTTTGACGTCCCAAGGAGTCGATTCCTCACGTCGTCGAATGGCTCTTTCTTTGTCTTGCTTTCTCTTCGAGTCCAAGAAGCAATCACTACGAGATCGAATGAGGCTCTTTGTAGCATCAAATTCAATTTGCTTTCGGAAATCAAAGGATGATTCCATGGAAGATGACGAAGCGCTCGGGATCCGTGGACGTCTAGGCATCTTCTCAGAATGTTTTGAAATTCTTGCCGGCAAAAATATAACACTATAACAATCTAAAAGTCAACCAAAAATTAGCTCGTGTTTTTGCCACATGCCATCACTTCTTTTGTGAATAAGCCAGAATTCATAATCTTATTTTAATCCGCTCTTTTCTCGTTCTAACAAGCTAATTTTTCAAAGTTATATTTCTTGAATCCCAAGGAAGAAAATCGGAAATGTTTGTAAAATGTGCATTAGTGTTTAGCGTTGTCTGATTGCTATGACAACAGGGTGTCTTCTGAACCGTGACAAAACGAACAGCTGTCACTCAGGTCGACCGGAATAACAAACTCCAAAGAATAAATTGATAACAATAATTGATTATAAAACTAAAACAAAACAAGGATTATGGCTGTTATAAATAGAATAAACTTCCTTTGCTTAGGTACCAGCCGTACATATATAAGAATAAAACATGCATGTACAGGCTACTTTGACAGAGGTGACAGTTCAGAATTCTCTACATGATCTTTGTTTATTTTTCATATTCCTCATATACCCTCTGATACTTTAGACTGAGCTTTTCGTCGGATTAAAAAAAGCCTTTCTCCCTTTGCGTCGAACATACATTTATCATATTTTGATACAAATTATGAGGTTCAAAATTTTACAATGTCAGCAATGTAAAGCAATCGATTTTGAATGATTTTAGTGAGCAAACGACTATCCAGAAAGATCATCAGGTAAAACTATAAAACTAAAAGCAGATTAACCAAAAATGTCAGTTCATTCGTATTTGTGCGGGCGCAACTCTCAACAAATATTAATTTTCAGGTATTTTATCGATACTCTTTATTTGGAATACTGGGACCATGCATTGGGACTTATATGATCTTCAGTGACTTGGCGCGGGGAGCATCAGTCAATTACTGTAATGGAAGTGCCTTATCTATGCAAGTTTCTCAATAGAGGTTGTCGCCCTTTACTGTTCAAAATTTCTCGCTGCTCCGCGTCGTGTGTTGATTTCTACACGGGCACGTGTTTTCACTCTAAAGAGTGTTTAGGGGAAAACTGGTGTTTGCGCATCAAGAAAGACATTTCATTCTTTGTTTAGTGTGCACTTGCGCATTTCATTTTCAGTTCAGCACTAATGTCTGATTCGTCTAGCAGCTTTAAACGCATGCGCGCATTAAGCCAAAAAGCAACGTAATTCAATGCAAAAAGCCGAATGCGTTTATGCTTCTTGTCTTGATTCTTTATTTGCTATCATAAAATATATTTACAGATTAAAATAAACATTAAGAGACCTTTTTATAAATATAAATATCTGGAACAATTATCACTTGGCTATTCGATTATCGAGTCTAGCTGTACCTCGCTATTAGGAAAACTGCACATGATTTACGTCCGCCACATTGGATGACAAATTTTAAATTCACGATAACGAAGCCAATTCAGGCCTATAATATGAGAGACTCATTCAAAAATGGCGGAATATGTCCTCATGTTGTGACTCCTTGACGTCCTAAATGAGCCAATCAAAGCACACCATATTGACCATATGATATGGCATGGTCAATGTTACAGATTTGACGCACTAGTACTGTACAATAGTAACAATCATACTAATTTGCTCTAAGCTTTCAGCCGCAAGAATGTCTAATAATTGATACTATGTCCTGCTAGATCGAAATTTTCATCATCAGATTTCGGTTTTCTTCACGATGGAAGTGAAACAACAGTTTTAAATCAGCACGTGAAATACCCCGAAATTTTCCCCTATATCTCTACTTTCTACGTTGTCTAACAATTTGTTTCTCGTTATTCATATTTTTATCTCCTTCCTTTTCGTATTACCTTATATTACACTTTGTTATTTTTTTGCATACGATGCAAACAGACATTCAACAAGCGAATTAAATATACCAGTTTCTTGTGAAATGAAACGGTTAAGGCATCCTGTACCGATGATACACCACCAAACAATTTGGTTTGTAAAACGAAAGCATCTTTGTTGTGTTTAATGAAAGTACTTTAAAATGAATACGTTTGTTCATCGGTTTGTCGACTAGAATACCTTAGAATAAGCCTTTTCATAGTTTAAGAATCGATTCCACTGCGCATGCGATTTTATCCCGAATTCCTCACCTTCTTTTGTCTAAACCTTCTTTTGTTCTTAATTAAACAAAAGAAGGTGAGAAATTCGGGATAAAATCGCATGCGCAGTGGAATCGATTCTTAAACTATGAAAAGGCTTATTCTCACCATTCAAACAAATCACGTGATCATTTCCTCCAATGCTGAGTGCGAACGTCATTTTTAAAAAAATGGTCGTAAGTGACTTCAGCGACGGCTTTTGCTCAGCTTTAATAAAATTTGAAATAGGAAACCCATTTGAAAACCATATTGATGTGAAATGGCATACTAATAAAACGTTAGTAAACAAAACAACGGACTTTCTTTTCAGTCTGAGTTGGGAAAACAAGATGCATTGCAGTGAAGCCGCTTGAACATAAAAAAGTATGTAAGCCATTCTCGAATCCACCATGTTCGCTGAGTTAGGCGTATATATAAGAGAATAAGTAATCAAAGTGATCCTTAAAGGAAAATTTCCTCGTCGTCTTCAAAAATGGCGGGAAATGATCACGTGATGAACTAAGAATGCACTATTTTCTGCCGGCGTAAAATGATTTTTCATTCATCGTCATAAAGAACGTAACGACTATCAATATCATATCATCTAACGAATTGACGTTGTTCTTGTAAAACCAAGTCTACTGAGAAGGTACGGAACACTTACCTAAGAACGCAATAACATTAAAAACAAACTACATAACCTACTGCTTTGCTAAAAGCCAATAGTGCCCGTTCCTTTGCCCAAAAATTTCCAGGTTGGGTTTTGAATTAAAAACGCATTAGCGCACATGTATACCATAATGTACAACAAAATGTATCAATAAATTTTAGTGAATAGTTACGTGACATAGTCACGGTAAAGGCGATTCCGAAGTTTCCTTCGAAGATTACGTGACATGGTCACGTGGGCTATACTAAGCTTATTGTTGATTGGTTCTTGTAAGCTTTTTGTGGTCCTCGTCCAACTCTAGCTTGAATCTCTGCTCTTCTTGCCATTGCATCAAAGGAACTAAAAACAAAACAGGMAAGTGGAAATTACTTGGTACGTCGTTTTATTGGTCATTTCCAGTTCTATGTATTTACAGTGATTTTAAATAGCACGCATGCAATCGCGTAGGCTCTGGTAGACGCAACAATTCAAGGAAATAAAATGGAAAATATTATTCATCTTGGATATAAATCTATAATTATACTTATTCAATTGTCTCAAGATTATATAATTAAGACCGAGACGTTTCGATTGCTACTGCTAGTCTTCATCAGGCAATGACGTAGCCTGGAAGGTAGTCTTGTTATATACCATCCGTCTGGCTCCCTCGAGGGTCACGCAGAGGCTGTGATTGGCAGCGGGTGGTCGGCGTAGCAGTAGCAGTCGAAACGTCGCGGTCCACCCTACCACAATCGCGGTCCACCCTGCCACAATCGCGGTCCACCCTGCCACAATCGCGGTCCACCCTGCCACAATCGTGAGACAAATAAATAAGGGTCATCTTTAAATTCTATCACAAAATCTATCATGATTATAATGTTCTAACTTTATTTGTTTATTACAGTTAGCTGCTGTACCAAATAAGAAAGACAATATTTTAAAAGGTTTATAGAATTTATACTCGTTAATAATGATTCAGAATATTTTTCTCTTATTTAGATGTAAATTTTCACGTGTATCTATTAAGTTTTTTTCAGTATTTTAAGTTTATATAACGGTACAACCGTGAAGTGCTCGTCTCCACTCCACTCCCCTTCCCCCGCTAAGATTACGCAGGTTTTCAAATACTGTACATAAACTAAACGGATTCTCGAAGCCAGGATCACTCCGACCTTTGTATAGCGGCACAAATAAAACACGAAAGAAGGTATCTAATAATAAATGATAATATTATACTGTTCGCCGGCCGCTTGCGTCGCCAACATACCGGCCAGTAGTTTGATGTTGCTGACAGAAGATGGTTGTCAGACAAGGCTGTCTGTCGACCCACTACAGCTGTCACCCTCAGCCCTACACGTCGACCCAAGTCAAGGTTAAGAAAAGAAATATTCGATATTTTTACGAGCACAACAATGTTGAAGTGGTTTGGAATATTTGCTTAGTGATAGCTCTCACGAAAGTTGCTTAGAGTGCGCACAAACATTATTTTTTCACTAGAGAACGGAGTGTGAATGTGCTCACGCGCCTCTCGCTGCGGAATAGCTGGAACCATTTTTATAGCTAATTGTGCAGATCAGCTCTTGGCTGCTACAATAAGCATGTGCACAAAATAAGGAACTTTATATAGTTGCCATAAAAATGGCACTAAACAAATAAATAAGACCTAGCCGCAACCCATCGTTCTACTTATACGAGTGTAAAATAGGGACAACCAGGAATAAAGAAAACAATTGTGAATGGTTATTACTGGCAAAACATGCGCGATGTCGTTAAACGCCACGGATGAGAACAACGACGCAAGTACAAGCTTATGACATGGAAAGAAAAATGAGTGATGGCTGATGGTATCCAAAATGAAGTACCCATAAGGCGACATGTAGCCTGTAAAAGGAACCCCACAAGGAACGCCTTGGCTACGCAGGCTAGGCGATATGGCGAGTTTCAATCTTTGGCAATACTGGTAGAAAGAATACGTTACTAATTGCCTTAAATCACTCTGGCGTCACGGCTCGTTTATAAGAGGGGCAGAATGGAGAAGAACAATAGAAATTTGGACTMATTTTACTCTGCAGCTGGATGGATAGCTCTGATATATGCCTGGTTTTCAAACATTTTATAAACCGGTTAATCCTGCGGTATATACGGTAAAAAAGCAAAATTTTTTCGCAGTTTTCTTTTCGTCGTACTGTTGCGTCACCCTCTCATGACCATGATTCTTGTGACGTCATAGTGAAATAGGCAGTTAATTAATTACTATTGAAATGGAATCATTTTTATCACGATATTTTTATTATAGAAGGTTAAAGTTGTAAGTTATTTGTTAATTTTAAAATACTAGACGATGAAATTTTTAGTGTAAAAATAAAACTGAATTCTCAGAATTAAAAACATAACTAAAAGATTTTATGGTTTTAAAACAACATTTTTGTCATTGAATTATTTAAGCTAAATAAATTATCTTACGAAGTTAGTTTTATGAGTGAATGGAAAGGTTAGGGAAATATAAGAACAAATGTTTTTATGGATTGGATGGATGGATGGATGGATGGATGGAGAGAGGGAGGGAGGGATGGGATGGGATGGGATGGATGAATGTGTGGATGGATGGACGGATAGATGGTTGGATGAAGGAATGGATTGTTGAAGGTGGCTTAGTGACTCGAAATAGATGAGAGAGTGGATGCATCAATGGATAAATGAATCATCTTGAAAATATATTACATTAACACTGAATTTCAAATTTCCCTCTACCTTTTGAATGTCTGTTCCTTCACTATGCTTCTTACTGCTTGCGATGTCTGTGCAGCCTCGCGGCTCTACAATAACAAAAGCAAGCAGTGCATTTAGGGGTGATTTTAGGGGACGAATAGACGCCATTTTGTAAATATGTTCCCGAAAACTGCCCTAAAATGCACTGCAATGGGAAATCCATCCAGTTTTGTCCTCATCGTCGTAACGCCTAATGTAAGGATTGGTGTTCGCATGCCACAGTTTTACTATACTTTTTCAACGTTAGGACACTCACTAGTTTCCTGATTTCTTCTTTTTCTGTATTAACCATCTCACTTCTTTGATCTTTGGCAATTATATCGGCTAGTAATTCCTTCTTACGTCTATCCTCTTCCTCTCTAACTCTGAAAAGATTAATTCATAATAGCAGGTGTGAATAAAATGCTTGTTGTTACGTTCCTGTGCTTCGAGGGTTTTTCTACGGGCTCTAAGTCAGTAAAATGAAATACTGAGTCCAGGAATCCAACCTGAACCAGAAGTCCCAAGATGTGAGAAGCAAGTGCACTACCGCTACGGCACCCTACTTTTTCTATTACCTTTCATAATTCTCCTCATGCTCTGTTTTCTTAGCAACAAGCTGGCATCGAGTTTTTAACTGTTTCTTGGTAATATTCATGGCTGATACTGCTTCTGCCCTTTTCAGACTCTGAAAGAATTAAAAAAAAAAACACGTTTTGAGAAGATTCGAGTTGCATCGCGTAGGCTGGCCATCTCTTTTTAACGCGAAATTCCATTCAGTAGAACTTCTCCCACTCTCAATTTTCCAAGTAAAAATCCCTCCTTACTTCTTCTTGATAAACCTTCAGGTTTTTCTGCCAATCTTTCAGTTCTTCTTCCATCTGTTTTAGCTTTTCCTGCTGACGCGATACCTTTTCTTTTTTCTTTCTCCTGAAACACGATGAAAATCAAACAACAGCAGTTAGAGGAACCACTGCTTCTCGATCATGATGAGAAGATCTTGTACATACTTGCTGTTCCTAATTTCACTTTCTCTTCTGATCAGCTGATCTTCGTAATTCTCGATAGCTCGCACGTGTTTTTCAGTGATTTGATCTTTCAAACTTCGTTCTACTTCTCTGAGGAAGGTAATCGAAATATTAATAAATAGTTAGTGTAAGGGGCAACGTCAAAACAATGGTCCAATACAGGAATCCCCCTACTCCCACCCTTCAGAGAGATCTTTTGAAATGCTCGATACTGGGTGTCCGAAGGGACTATTTCTGTACACAAACACGCTGTTTAGCATTCGTGCAAACAAACAGTGCTTTGGCCATTAGTTTTGAAGATATTTGAGAGGGGCAAAACAGGATTTAACTTCCAGAGCTCGTGGGTTCCGGGTACGACACCCCTCGGCTTCCCGGTGCCCCGTGAGATGATAATTAATTTAACCTTATCCGGTTTTAAGGAATCAGTTATGTTGGGTGGGCTTGCTGGCTGCGCACTTCATTGCATCTCCAGAAAATGTAGTCCCAGTAAAAAACTTTTATGAAAGTCCTCTGGGGCCATATCTTCATCAGTGTGCGACTTCATCGCATGGTTTGTCATGATCTGCTAAAAGATAAGAACCTTACTTCGAACGCCTTGCAATTTCTTCTCTTTTCTCTTCAATCTTGATTTTTTCGGACTCATTCTGGATTTGTAATTTCTGAAAAACAATAGGATAATGTTATCAGAGCAGACTTCATTTGCCTGCTGTGCCATGACCGTGGAGGTGTTATGTCCGAGAGTTCATTTACCAGCAGTAATTTCGCTGTGAAGGTGTAACTGGTTCAGCGGATATTCTCAGTAATAAACCTTAACCATTCCGGTGTAGACCGTGACATTTTATAAACTTCCTACGAGATTTAGACACGTGCACGCTTCGCCTCGTGACTCTGCCTCGTGACTTCGCCTCGGGCGCACGAACCTCCGTGTTCAGTTTAGCATTCGTGAAAACTCCAGCCGTAGGCGATTCGTTCAAAACTGCGCTCTGTAAGAGAGCACGCAATAATGCCGTTCGAACTGGCTTATTAAAAAATATCTTTTCCCGTGCTGTGCTCCGTTCAGTAATACAGCAAGTTATCGACCAATCAGAGCTCGCGTAGAGCAGTTACTATATAATAAAACTCAATGAACGCACGAAGAACGTGCCAAACACCTACCAGTTGTTCGTGAGTAGTTTTACGATTTCGATTGCGCATGGCTCGTTCATGCTTCTCCAGCGTTGTAAGGTATGCTATGTTACGATTCATCTCATCTTCGCGTTCTTTTTGTCGGCGCTTTTCCTCCTACGAGAAATGAAGTATGAGATTCAGCCAAATAAGCTCGATTCCTTTCATAAAAGTGGTAGAAATAAAGCCTATTACACTGATCATATCTGCTCATAACATTTGCGGCACCGAGAAAACTTGGCCGTCTAATTTTTTTTATTTCTATTTTTTATTTTATTTTTATTAGTTTCATTTTGGCTTCATTCAATCGACCTAGCTATATTCAGGTCGTTGAAACTTTAATTGACGAACCCAAAACACCAATAGTCCGCCTTCTTAGCTTGCTTTTTGGGTCGGGTAAAAATAAAAATGGGTTTTAGTGCAAGAATAATCCAGGGGTTTCTAGTAACCCATGAAATTCTCGATCTTGTTCCAGGGTTATGATATTTAATGTCACAGTTAGGACATCTGCAATTTGTTTGTTACCTGTTGGCGTTTCTTCTCAGCTTCAGCCATCCGTTTGAGTTCTATTTTATTGGCCTGGAATGAGAATATGTCACAATCTTACTGTCTATTATAAAAGCACAGTGTGAGTGTGTGTATGGTGGTGTATGGTAGTGGGGGTTATGCGGTGATTATCATTAATGTTGAAAAACAAATAACGACTACTGACCAAAGTTCTTTCCTGCTTTTGACGCTCTTGCTCCCACAGTGATTCCTTCATGCGGATTGCTTCTTCTTTTTCTTGTTTTAGTCTTCGTTCTTTTCTCTCTCGCCGCGCGCGTGCTTCCATCTAAACAAAAGAAATACGGTTCACGGGAATAAGAAAAATAACGGTTTTGAGAGCGAAATAATAGCTGGGCTTGTTGCAGAAGCTGTCCCATTGAGATCGCAAATTAGGAAAAATGGAAGAGTGAACGATTATGGAATTGTTGCCTATTGGTGTACTGGTCTTAGTTGATGTTTTCTTGTGTTTTTTTTTTCGGTTTGTTTTTTGTTTTTTAGTTTTTGTTTAATAAGAAGATAAGAAAAGGGTGGAAATAAAAGGGAATAATAAAAGGAAAGGGAAGGCGGGAAGATAAGGGAAATCTAGAGTCAAGGCAAACCTCCTAAATGCAATTTACAGCAGTAAATAGACACCATCAAGACTTTCTAAAAAAAGTTTCTATCCCTCGTTATCTTTTACTATTAGACGGGAACTGAGGGCATTTAATCCATACTTTGCGCTAAATTAGTACCGATGTGTTGGTGAAAAAAAACCAAACCAACCAAAAATGGTGCGAATCCCTGTCCAGGGAGAACAAGTCAATCACTCGCACGTCTGTCACTCATAAAAGCAATCCCTATGATCGATCGATGGGTTGGATACATGAGATTGGTGGACTTGTGGCTGAAGGGTACATACACCCACCTGTTTCATGTCTTTTGAGGCATATTGCTCGTACAATTCCGCTTGATGTCGTTTCATTCGTGCATGACGTAAGTCATTTTCTAGTTGTCTTTGACCATCCCACGCCAGGTCCAACATCATTTTGTCTTTTCTTAATCTCTGGGCCTCCTCGTGACGTGTAAGCATTAGATCGATTATCTTCTGGTCCTGTCGACACGACGAAACACAGGAATTTAAAATGATACGCTGGCGGATAGTATGAAGGAAGGGACACAAAATCACACCAATCAAACCAATCAATAAAAATCGATATGTGAGTTGAGGGTTGTTTGTATAGAATATTCGAAAGTAGTAAGGAGCGTGTATGGAGGATATATGGCCCAACAAGCTCCTAGCTTTAAAGCCTACCCTGTATAATATTTAGATAAAAAATATTCAAGTTTTTCAAGTGTACCTTATTCGACATTCTCTTTCCACCAACAGCATTTAGTATACAATCAGTGGACATAGTACGGCTTTGTTTCTTGGGTTCAAAAGAGTTTAAAGAGACTGTTGAGCGGTTACTGTCTCGTCGTGTAAGCCTGGGTGAGGACGGAAGAGAGCCCGTCTTTGGGATCGACCATTGGCTACGTACTCGTCGAACATGAGGGCTTGCGACGCCTTCACTTGTGTCTGAGTCGGACGTCTCGCCGCGAGTTTTAGTGTCACGTGCATTGAAACTTTGGCTTTTTCTAAAATATAATATTATGACAGAAATTAAAACATTAGACCTCGAGTGACCACGAAACTATATCTCCAAATAGATGTTGTACTCAATAAAATACAGTAAGTTCGGAAAAGGCCCTTCAAGTAAATGAACCAGCGTTTCGTCCAGTTTTATAATAACCATGTAGTTAGCTGGCTTATTGTAAAGCTAAAACTAGAGCCTATAATCAGCTAAGTAGCCTGGATGGAAGGTGCAATTTCCTTGCACTTTGATTGTAAACTATAATTTGTAATTGGATGACATCAATTCTGTACCGTAGCCGCGCCTCAAGTTTTCATAAGACCAACCACAAACTAGCATGAACCCTACCATGGCATCAGTTCGCGTGCATACGATAAATGGTCTATTTACAAAGAAAAAAGGCACGTGAACTGACGTTTCTAAGAAATTTCAGGACGTCTGCTTCTGTTTTCATTTACAAAATTACCAATAAACTCACTGTAAAAACTGTACCGTTGTAAGTTTGATGGAAGAACGGAATAGGAAAAAAAAGGTATAGGAACTTACTCGATTTTTGATTTCCCAGGTGGTGCGTGTTGTTTAGCACTTGTTTCAACTTCATAACCATTTCTCCTGGAAGGAAAATTGGGGAAGGAACTTATGATTATTACGAAAAGAAAAAGCTTGTTGGCAACAAATATCGGTTTGGCACGTATAGGAAAACTACGTGACTACAAAGCATGATGGAAACAAAGAAAGGGAAATGAAAGAAAGACGAAAGAGGGGGCAAAAAGTATCGACATTGGGGTTCTTCATAGAAGCATGTTCGGGAATTTATGAGTTCGATTTCTCTTTCTCTTTTTCCTTCCCTCCCCTACAAAACAATGACTGAAAAAGAAGAAAATAAAGACGCAAAAGAAGACCAAAAAATGTAGAAAAGAAAGAGTAAAACATACGTAGCACTGTGCTTCGGAGATGTTTTGCTAGAGCTTTTCAGTCGGTTATCCTTCCCGGTGGTATCGGAGTGCAGACTTGGTGACGAAGTACTTCGAACCACTTGCTGTCTATCAAGATCTAAGCGGTTAAATAAAGAACAAACAGGAGATGAGAAAATATCACTGAAATCGTACGATACAACGCAGCTTTCCATGTTAGAAAGAAAAACTATGGTAGCTGTATGGTAACTGTAATGGCTTCTTGACACAATGCAAGCAATTCGTCGTACGATGTTTGTAAGCAACATTTCACGCATTAACACTGTTTCTAAGTATTTGATATCAATTATTTATTGATACAACGCAGCTTTCCATGTTGGATAGAAAAACTATGGTAACTGTAATGGTTTCTTGACCCAATGCAAGCAAATCGTAGTACGATGTTTGTAAACGATTCACTCATTACCACTGTTCCTAAGTACTTCATATCAAATATTTATAGATACAACGCAGCTTTCCATGTTAGAAAGAAAAACTATGGTAACTGTAATGGTTTCTTGACGCAATCACTCATTAACACTGTTCCTAAGTACTCGATATCAAATATTTATCGAAAAATGTAACCTCTCTTTCACACTTTTTACAATACATTCTTTAGAGTGCGGTCGTATAGCTCAAATTTTAATTCAAATTTGAGCTCCTATTATATCAATAAACCTGATAAATACTTAGAATAGCAGCATTGGAAAGCTTTGGCTAGGCTTTGGCGTCGAACCCGTCCACAATAGACCCTTTGCCAAAATAGCGACCGCAAATTTGAATAAGCTAAAATTAAACTGCGTGAAAAACCAAAGAGCACCTTTACTCTATCATAAATCATAATTGTATCAACAGTTTTGATTGATTTTTAACTAATATTTCTAAGTATTACTTAAAACTGATAGCAAGGGTTGATACATGTATATTAATTGTAAAAGTAATGATATGATGGACAGCTTCAAAAAGTAGGTCTAATTGATGACATTTACATACACGATTTTTTTCTGTTAAATTGAAAACATAATGAAATCAATGCTTGATATTTTTAATTTAGAAAATTCAGTATAGGATTTTGAAAATTAATTTTAAAAGGTTGGCACTGTGAATAAATTGAAGCCACAAATGAAAGCAGCTGTTTTAACACGGTATGACACACCCAGAGTAGACAACGCAAAACAACCAAAACATGAAATGTCTGGCAAGCAATAAATTAGCTTCATTAAAGATAAAAAAGAAGTGTGCAGTTTGTACAGTTATGAAGAGGAAGTTGATTTTTTTGATGGGTATATTTGTAAAAACTAAGTATTTTTAGCTAAAGGCTTTTTTAAAATTGTTTTTACTTTACACGAGAAAGAGTGTCATTTAATAGCATTTATATTTAATCATCGATGAAATATCTATTTTTTCTCTATTTATACCAAAAAGTGATATTTTCGCATGTGAAGATACTACATAATATCTTCACATGTAAAAATAACATCCTTGGTAAGAATTCTTAGAAATCGCATTAGATAGTGGAAATCCACCAACTACATGTATTAAACAGAATATTACATGGCTACTTGGAGAAATATAACACACAAAGATAAAATCCTTATCTCAACATGGCCTTGCAATAACCTTTATGTTGTTTTGAAATGATTTATTACAATAAGTTTACAGAGGGTTTGATAATAGTGGAAATCCACCAAATACATGTATTAAGCAGAATATTACATGGCTGCTTGGAGAAATATCACACACAAAGATAAAATCCTTATCTCCACATGGCCTTGCAATAACCTTTATGTTGTTTTGAAATAATTTATAACGATAAGTTTACAGAGAGTTTGATATCATGTTGTTTGATTTAATGATAATAATAACTGTTTCATAGGGAAAATAAAATAGAAAATGTGATAATTTTTTGAATATAAATTTTATAAATGAGTTATTTATATCTTTACCCTTGGCAGAAGTCAGGTGGGTCCTTCTTGTGAAATCTCCAATGATGTCCCTTCCTCTCCTTTCTTGCTCGTTGATAATTCTTTCTCTTTCTTCCTGACATAGTCTCAGCTTTCCTGACATGATAAGATATGTATATTCAGTGTTATATCACATGATTCCACAGCATATTCTTGTCTTAGGTTGCAGTGAAGAGGATACTTGAAAAGTTGCACAGCCAGAATTTCCTACTGGAAAGGAGGGGAACTCCATACATGTATTTTATCAAACAATGAAACAACCTCTTGAATTTAACATTTTAATAGCCCCTTTCACAGTTCCCTGCACCATCTTGAAATATAACTGTGCCTTCACATTGCAACACCTTGGAAAATTATTCACATGTCTCTATCATTGCAAGCTCACCGTTCAACTGGAGAACTGAGAGAAAAACCCTCAAATCAAAGAAGAGATCCAGCCATCTTTGCTTACATGTGATGCCAAGACCAGTATTCAAACCTGACACCCCAGAGAAGGGTGAAAGCAAAAGTGCAGTACTGGACCACCACTCTCAACTTCTCTCTAGCCTTGACAATCAACCCATCCCTCCCTCCCTTCCCGCACACACACACACACACACACACAACATGCATACAGATTTTGTTACCCAATGGACAATTTTTTACAGGTACATATTGTATTGACTTCAGGATTAAAAAATAGTACATGCAAAACACAATACTGCTGACTGAATCTCTTGTTTACTGCATTCCTGCTTGGGGGAGGGCTGATACTTGGAAATGTAGTGGATATATATGGCTTAAAATAACTGCCAGTCATCTGACACCAGTATTTGCACTTGTCTGGTCAAATCTTTGCTCTACAGCCATTTTGACTAGTAATGTTCATCCAGCCACAAGGTATGACCAAGCTAAAACTAATATGACTTTAAGTTTTTTAAGCCACAATATAAGCAATTTGTGCATAATGCCCTTTTATTGGTTATAAAGTGGGTATTATAGCGATTACTCACTCTTTCTCTGTCTTTCGTGCTCTTGATATACTTCATAAATAGCTTCATGGGAGTAGTTTGTGTCATACAATGCTTCAAATTCATCAATAAATTCTTCATAGGACTTGTGAAGTAATTCTATAGGCTGTCATTGACAATATTAACATGATTAGAATGTATTTCAAGTTCATTGGAAATCTTATATTTTGATGCAAAATAATTGCAATTGATTTTGTATACACAAAAGAGATCATACAGGGATCAGTATAATTCACAGAGCAGGGCTCTGCTGGTCAACGGACAACATCAAAATCGGAGAATGAAAATCAATGTCAAGAATAAGACAACATGTCTATTTGATAACCAATACTGATTACCTTAACTCCAAACCTTGCACATGCCTGTCAGAAAAGAAACAAAAAATGGATTTAACAAAAACTCCATTGCAATCATACAAAAGAATTATCAAAAGGCACATAATAAAAAGAAAGTAAGAAATATTTTTTCTCAAATCTTTGGAGTACTAAAATGAGTCAATTTGTTATAAGTTGATTTTAACTGAGGGAGGAAAGTATTAAATGTTTGCTTGCAGTCCACTTGTTTTTGTACCTCAAGTGATCTTGGACTAGTCAATACATAGCGACTCTCTTCAGCACCAGGCACTTCAAAGTTGGTTAAATCCAGATTTAAAGGGGGAACCTTTGATTTGGATGATCCTAAAAAATAATGACATGTCAGTTGAAGAAAGAAATGACTGTTGACACATGCATGTATATAGATTTGGTTAGACAGGAAGATAGTAGTGGATATTGTGTGAATCAATATATCGTAGAATCTTGGTTATAAGCACTGGGCTTATACAACTTTGTAAGGGTTTTTGGATAGGCTTTTACACATGGGATGATTAGCAACTGGTGCGAACTCATACATTCCTTTCATAAGAAAATAATGCTTTATGGTGTCCATTTCACATCGTCAATGTGCTATCATGAGGCTGTACACTATCAGTAGAGGGAGCTTATAACCCGGCACTAACCCGGAGGACATTTCTGTTAGCAGATGGGTGGGGCTCATAACTGGGGGTCACTATAACCGGGACTATATGATATAATTAAGATGATTAAGCCTTAATAATTATGGTTAATACATATAACTAAATAATAGAAATAAACAGAATATATCATTATTTACACCAGTACCACAGGAAAGAGGAAATTAAATCACATCTTTGGAAAATATTACTTAGATAAAATCCTTTGTAAAACATAACCATTTGATTTAAATCAAAGCAATTTATCATTATTTAATACTGTATGTGAGAATGACCTAATATAAAATATATTCATTTTTGATTTCTAAACTAGATAACAGTTACATATTTTCCTTTTTATTTGAGGCATCAATATGCACATATATCAATACTTTTTTGACATGGCTACATGTTTGTATTTGGGCTTGGTTTATGAGTGTGGTTTCAGACATGCCAAAATCAAGGAAAGAGGCAGATTAGGAATACACCAAATTAATAACAAAATATATAATTTGATTTATATTACATTTATACTGTTGATTGCCTTATCTTTCATTTCATTCTTAATTACCTTTGCACAATAGTCAATTACTGATGATAATAAGTAGTTAAGATTTGTGAATTTGCCAGCATTGTTTCAACATCACTTGAGCACTGCTTGAATGTGGCTAGCCAAACAATATCAGTATGCTAAATTAATAATTCAAACCTAAGCCACATTGCTATGAACCTTACTTAAATGACATCCATGCTCATTTTGAAGTGGTTGAATTCAAGGCTACCTTGACAAAAACATAATTCCCAGGCAATATAGCTAGCCCATGAAATAGATCAATGGTGCATTTGCTATGGATGCAAGGGTCGTGAAATATAAAGCAAGGAAATAATTGATAATTATTTTTAACTTTGAAATTACATTAATTTCCTATTTCTGATTCTCTGTAACAGATGTTTATATTATTGATGGATAACTTCTAGACTGATCTCAGAACAAACATACATTAAGTATTAAAATAGATTTCCCAATGTTTCTCACTCATGATGTTAAACTACTTAACTCTTATATGATTTCCGAGCCCATCCCACACGGCTTACTGCCTCATTTCTCATGCACTATTTTTTCATGGGATTCTACCAGCTCACTAGATACACCATGCTGACAAGGCACAATACAGGCCAAAACAGCTGCTCAAGGTTTATAGTTGAGCTGGCTCATTTTTTACGCGACTTGAAGTTGTGAAAGGCCCATTGGCCCTCTTCTTCAGTTATTTCATACAAGGCTTGTAATTTACCTAAATTACGCATGTTCTAATATGATGTTAAACTACTATAAGATACAAGTCATAACAAATATAGCTATTTATCCCACACCATACAAAACACAGCCAACCAGAATGCAGGAAGGCTGAACACTGTATTTTCATCAGCATTTCACTCTTCCTTCCCATCATGAGCTACACCTTGAATCTACTCATTTGTTTCTTGTATGGCGCAGGATAAAATAGTTATATAGTTGTACAATACCTTCTTGTGGAATATAATTAAATATCTTACTTGCCACTTGCATCTCCTTTACATTTAAACACTCGCCTGAAGGCTTGTGTGTATAAAAGAAAAGTGACTCATAAGATATTCAGTAGTATACCACTCAAAAGCGTTGTATAACTAGTATTGTTTACTCTAACTACATTTCCTCTAGTTTTCCTACTCAACCTGTAAGGCCTGTTCTTATTTAGTTTTTATAACTTTTTTTCAATACCCTGAAACAACCTCTAGGATGATCAAAATTATAGCCCCAAGACATCATTACACTGTAGATTATAGGTTAATGTGTTGTAAATAAAGACATAGAAAATCATACTTTATCATTTTAATGCGACAATAGTTCTTTAATTGCTATCAACATATAATGTAGTTCAGCATTTTATCTGGGCCATAGCTATAACATAAAGGATAGAATCTAAGCTCTGATGCCATTAGGGGAAATACCACAAGCAGGATATAAATATTTGTTATCGGAAGTCGGTATCCACAAATAACATGATGGGCCGATTAGCAAAGACCATGCTATATAAAACTCTCTGTAATATCATATATAAACAATACAAATACAAGCTCTAATATTGTGGTAAAATATATTTTAAACCACCTTAGCAGGATATGTTTTAATTTTTGACACCTTAATGTTTAGTATTTGCCAAGTTTTGGAGTAACTTGGCAACTCCTTTCGACATCAACCATGTAAACTAAAACACTATTGACTCACAAGGTAGCGTCTCTCTCAAAACAATAAATGGTTTGACTCAGGGTCACTCAGATCTACAGCTCCTGCATTACATTTAATGCTCAAGCGCTCAAATAAATTATAGAGAATGACCGTAAGATAAATTAAAATCCCATCCATGTTTGGGTGAAGTTTTAAATGCATAAAACAGGTACCAAATTACTAGTATATTATATAAGCCTTATTGGCGAGTCAACTTTCTCGTCCACATCGAAAAGCTAAAAACACACTCACCTTTCATGTCGAATTGGACTTGCTTGGACGGGCTGTTGCTCCTACTTCCTGGCTTAGAGTCGACTAAAACAATATAAGAAAACAATGATAAGAAAATCCAAACTTTTCCGTAAAGATTTGCTAGAATTTTAAATACCTGACTCACTCGTCTCAAATAACGCCTTCCACGCGTCACTCTCCTCAAAACTGAGCTCTTCGCGTTCTAAACCACGGCTTTTCATTGACATTTTAAAATCTTTTCATCCGAGGATCAATCCTTCCTTCATGCTTGGGGTTTATCTGGTCTAGTCTGACAAATCTGGGGGTAATTTTGGCGCTAAACCGTAGGCCATAGTATGAGTCATCCATCAATCGACCTTCACCTCTGTCAAGGAGTTGTGCTTTTTTGAAAATACAGACTTTCATACCCAGATTTTCTCGACCACAGGAGCCCCACCCCCTTGCACAAGCGATTTAAAAATATTACAGAAAGTCTTACTTTCAGACTCCAAAGTATTTTATTGTCTTTCATTCATGGTAAAATGGCATGGTAAAAGTAAAAAATAAAAATACAGAATTTGAAGGGAATGCCTATTTTTAAAAAATTCTATTTATAGAAATCTAGTGCTAATCTTCGCTTGGGCCTGCTGTGGATAGGTTGAGCCAGCGATTTCAACAAGCGTGAATCAAAACCAAACGTGAACTTTGGAAAATTCTTGCAAAGATCTTCTTATAGAGATGAAAATTCCATCTGCAGAATGGTCAAAGATGGTCCTTAGCTTGTACAGAAGTCTGATAAAGGAAAGTCGATTGTTGCGTTATACTGATCGTGGATATTATAGACGAGAAATACGAAGAGAATTCGAGAAACAGAAAGATGAAGTAGATGTCAACAAAATCAAAGATCAGTACGAGGTAATGTGCAAATAATCTCTTAGGAGAGTGTGTTTTACTGGCCTCACGTTATTTAAAAACTTTAATATTATTTAAATTTCTCAAATGAATGAAGTTCTAGTTTTGCTATCTGATTATACAGCTGCACATACCCCTACCCCTACCCCCTGAGTCACTCAAGGTAGTGTTTACCAAGACGATTTGAATCAGTGATTTTTCATGCGATTGTTGCTTTAAAAGTTGGCCTTATGTAACATGACACACTCTTTCACTCAGTTATGTAAGGTGTTGTTACACATCACAATTTGCATCAGTGATTTTTCATGCAATTATTGTGTTAAAAGTTGGCCTGGTGTAACATGGCATGCTGATACAATTTTTAACAATATTTTGTTGCGGTAACACAGTAACATGATTTAAGTTTTTTTCTTTTGAACGAGCTTCAAAAACTCACAATATTGCTGCTATCAAATTCTGTTGCTGCACGCGCCATGTTGCATAAACCCAACTTTTAACACAAAGATGTTGCACGAAAAATCATTGTGTGTAACATCACCTTTATTCACTAATTAGAATTATTTTGGTTCTGTTCATTTTCTCATTCATTCATTTTTTTGGTTGCATTACAGAAAGGTGTTTACTTTATGAAAACAAAACTTGGAGGCCTAAAGTAGCACACAGTTAAGGGAGTGCTATCAAATCATTCAGAAGTATCTCATCACAAGGCTCAGAAAGATTGAGGGCTCTGATCACAGAAATTGCTGAAACCTCTCCTTTCAAAACCACTTGATGTATACAGCTGCTTAAAGAAGGTTGAAGGGCAAACAGCCGAATATGTGATAAGCACTAGGAGATAGGTCATTCCAAAAGCCAAGAATAACTGGAATGACTGGTATTTCTTGTAATTATTTTTGTCAATACTGAACACAGAGGTTATTGTTGAAGTAGTTGACCAACCATTCAAAACACCTCAATCATTTGTGTTAAGATGTATGCCCACAGTCACTTTCGGTGGTGCAATAACCGATTGCCATTCACTGCTCGCCCTTTCAACCACTTTTGAAATGTAGCTGTATGTTACTTGATATAATCCAGTCATGAAGTACCATCCCATCACTAGCCTTAGAAAGAAGCAGGGGCAGATCAGGGGGGGGGGAGGCGGGAGGGGTTTCTTGTGGTGCACCAGACTTCTTTGAAGCTATGCATAATATCCCTATATACATTTCTTCATTTGGGATACCCCCTTAAAAAAATTGCAGGAATTTTCAATTTTTTCATTTCCATGAAAACAATCAGGAACAAACGAATCCTTCTAGAGCTCTTGGGTTAAACTTCTTCTATAAGATTTAACCAGAACCCAAGCCAAATTATTTGGCCCATTCACGGCATGGGGAGGGGGATGGGGCTTTTATCTGGATATCATTGTTGAACCTTGCCTCCAATAGTGGCAGAAATAAAGTCTGATATTTTCATCAAGATGCTTTTATCTTAGAGGTACTCTATCTACTTACAGGGATTGCAAAAGGTTTTTTTTGATCTGACTCTCAGGACCCTTGTAGCTAGTCAGATAGACCTCTTTAGCTTGTGCGTAATGTTTTCCCATTTCAGACCATGTGTCATTTTCTTGAGAATAAGATTATTTGTTAGAATAGCATCCATATCCAAAATCACATGTGGTCTGAAATGGGCAGACCATTATGCCCAAACTAAATAGGTCTAATGGGATCTCATGCATTACTGTGAGTACCAGTCAATATTTAGGAAGACCTCAAAATTTTAAAAAAATGAAGTGGATCACAGACTGCTTCAATTTTTGAAGTTTTTGTTTTACTGTAAAGCGAGCGCGATATTTAAGTTCGCGCGCATAGTAGTCGTAAACGTATCCTAATATCAAAGAACGYGCGCTTTTATATTCCTTAAACAGATCACCGAAAAAAGCTGTTTCAATTGTCCTATTATGTAGAAAGAAAAACTCCGTTGTAGTTTTCGATGCGTTTTTCTCAAAATTCGTTGCAAAGTTTGCTGCGTGTGCGGCATCAACAACTGTGCTCTACTGACAAAAAAAGCACAGTTCTAAACCAATCACAGCACGCATACTATATAAACGCGTGCGCATGTCTCGGTACTGTGATGTATTTAGATCTTATTAACCGAACGGGAGGTCGGTACAGGATAATCTTGACCGAGGTCTGTACCCGACCGAGGTCAAGATTATCCCGTACAGACCGACCAAGCTCGGTCGATAAGAGTTTTATTATGACCACTTTTCATTGAAAAGGACAAAATGTTTTCGCCGTAAGATTGATATGCGATCGGACCGGTTAATACCGGAGAATCTAGACCAGCCCGCGATGCGATCTATCCAAACAGATTGCTCGATTTGCTAGTGTCCAGGCTCTAATATTCACGATCATATAATAAATGTGTATATATACACGCTGGAAACTGTAGAGCAAAAAGTAGGTAAGCTTAGGAACACGAGGCGTAGGCGAGTGTTTCTCTTGCTTTTCAAGTACTCTACAACTCCCAGAGTGTTTATATCACAGTATCGTTTTATATTGCGTTTATAAAATATTTTGCGCAAGTGTCTCTGGCCTCTGATATAAACATGGTATCCAGCCAATCAGCGCGCGCGTTATATTTCAAATATTTTATAGTAATCTGCATTTACATTAGTTTTAGTTATTTTAAAATTTTCATTTTATTATGCCTAGCCATAGAGACTAACTTTTATGATTTTTAAATAAAAAAATTAGGATTAGTGATACTTTGGTAATATCTAAGTTATGTTTATGTTATTGCAGGTCCACATCTGCGTCGCCGGCTGCGTTTTTCCTAGCCTGCTTTATTAAATAAAGATTGTCTGCATAATCATTCGGTTTTGGCCAAAATTTTCGCATTTTGGTGACATTATCACTGGTTTATCAGACTTTACACGAACGAGAATAAACTTCTTATTAAGCTTTCTGGATAGGTACAAATTCGCAAAAAAGAAATTTAGCTTTTGTATTGAGTTCCGCGCCGGACATTAATAATGCAACGTTTGCATGTCTGATCACATAAGGCGCGGTCAGACAGCTTTGCATGGTCAACACTTTAATCGATAAATTCTCCCCAATTAACAATCTAAAACCTATATAGTTCACAGGAAACGAGGGATGAGGTCGGTAACAAGCGGCTGTCAAATCCTATTTGTTGGTTTTTACGATCACCAGAGTTCAAGTGATACGATTAGTCCTATCGAACCGGTCTTCAAAATTCCGCTAAGCCTGCTTTGTTGTACCTAGGGAACCGCGGAGGTAGGGGGCCGAGGGGCTATAGCCCCGCCTCCCCCCCCCCCCCCCCCCCCCCCCCCCAATAATTTTGCAGCAATGCACTACCTCCAATCACTAGCTGTGAATGAGATGATTAGATTCAGTAATAAAATCATACACTTTGAAGAAGTTTTTAAAACTCTTTTCTATGTTTTTTCCTAATTCAAAACACGACAAATTCAACAATACGATATGAATATGGAGTTTTTGCAGTGCGATCGTACTATTAAACTTTGCTGGGCGATTAGCTCCATTTGTGAGAATAAGAATTTGTCTTCTTTCTTTTTTTATTGTTCTGACTAGGATTCTTTTTATTAATTTCAAGGCCTGTTTAAAATTTAATATGATAACGCGTTCCAAAATAAAGTTGTACAACAGTTCGGTCTATAATGGGCTATACGGGGTGTGGCGTCGCGTGATTTAACCTTAATCATTGGGTGAATGGAGCCGGCAAACGACAGCATTTCATCACTTTAAAAGTTATCGATGTTATCTTTACTGCAATGTGGCTTTGTAATTCAAAAAGCCTATAATAATTTAACACCAAACAAATACAAAAGCCGTGAAGATTTATGCTAATTATGTTTTATTTGCAGTGAATGCGATATATGTTCACTTGTGTGGCTAATACACATCGTTCTTAATCCCGATGATTCTGGGTCGTATTTTGTTTGAAATTCCAGAAGGATTTAAAGATAAAGAAGATCATATGTGATGTTTTCGTTGTTAATGAAGCCCTAAATCGGACCCCAAAATCTTTTGGCAAAGTGGTACGCGCCATTCATATCCATGTGGGTGAAGAGAATGTAGTCTTTAATCATTACTAAAACTACCATATTTGCTTCCAAAACAACACGCAGTTTGGCAATTTTTTCATATACATAGCAATATTATACCTATAATGACTGAATTTATTTTAGGGGAGAGTCAGGTGTCGAGATTAATAGGCTCTGATTGGGTATTAATACTTCCGCTAAAGATGGAGATGTAGATTCTCACAAAGGGACAATGACCCTGGTCATAGACAAAGTTTGAGAAGAAGTTCAGGTCTGTCGACTAGCGCTTGTCTCGATCAGTGGTACATGAATAACGATCAGCTGATTCCTTTGCTTTAAAAACCTATGGCTTAAGCGAAAATGTCTCGTAAAATTCTCAAGGTATGTCGAATTTATTGTAAGACGTAATTAGAAAATATTAGTCTGTTTAACTTAGCTACTCGCACTAAAAAAATAAGCTTATTATTTGGACCGAGAAAACTAGTTGTGTGTCTACTCTTGCTCAACGGTTTTTTACGCATTGTATCTTTAGCTAGTATATTTGTCATCGCAGTTGATTGTAGCTGGTTTAGGAGGACTTTTTGTCTATCTTGGATCGATCTGAAATCAGTTTTGATAACGTCTTAGCGAGGGAAGCACAGTTTGTAGTAAGCTAATAAGCAAAAATCATTCGCAGATCGATCAAGATCAAATCATTCGAGAACTCCTGCTTTTTTCATTAAAAATTCGAATTAGTCTGAATCATTCTTGTCGAATTTATGTTTGCTTGTTATTATATCATGTTTTTGATAAAACTTATGGCCATTTAATAAGAAGTGCTGTTGACATTTGCTAATTCATTCAAAATACGAATCGATCTAATACCAGCGTTTATGAATTTGAATAAAACCAATTTGCAATAAGACTTTTTAACAGCCTAAAAACAACATAGGCCCTTAGAGAAAGATCCCTAAATTGTAAAATCTGAGTGTATTGAAAACTCGACTTGATCTATAAAGAACACATTTCGGCGCTTATTTAGCTATATTATATAGTGGTGCAGTTTATTGCTACATTATAAATAAATTTGTTAACCTTATATTTAAGCTTATCGAATATTCCTAGTTTAGTTAGACTATGGCCCGTAATTTTTTTATTTATAGTCCTTCGCCTCAATCTACTTCGAGTGTGTACATTGTAAAACAAGTACGTATGTACATTTTTAACTAGTAAAACATTTATATTTATTGATCAGTGAAATTCTAAAGTTACAATATGCATTTTTTTTGCTATTTTCAAGAGAAAAGTTAAAAATTTTGGTTTATAAAATCCTAATGGTTAATGGCAACAGTTACTCATTGTGTTTCGTTTCCTTGGCATTTCCTATTACTTTTGTACTTTATTTAAAGCTATTACAGTTAAGGAATTCTGATTTATCTCCATTTGGAATGAATTGAATTATGCATAGTACCACATTTTATTGAAATCAACTTTCCCTGTTTTCCTTTTTTTCTTTGTTTGAAAAATTTTTCAATCCTTATCCTCTCAGAAGTCTGACATGACAGCTGTTTATAAGACACTCTCAAATAGCATTAGAAGTCAAGCCTTAAGGCTAATTCAACTCATAGCAGCAACTTTAAGTGACATTCATTTACTTCCAGGCTAAAAATAGAAGAAAACAACACAATATGTAACGAAGTGTTCAATTTGCTTTCTCATTCAGTTGGTTCGTTAAAAAAAGGATGATAATAGCCTGACTCATGCTTTAAGTACTGGTATTCCAGGGATTACAAATTTTGCTTACCCACTGAAGTCAGTTTGACTCCTTCTCTAGAAATCTTGGAGTCATTATTCTAACAGTTTCAAGTAGTTTATGAGTGGTAAAGGATCGATTTTGGACTGGCTGGAGTCAAAATGACTCGATCCCTCTAATAATTTATTGTTTGAAGTCACTTACATTTGTAATCCCTGCATATGAAATAGATGCGAGAGCAAAAATCTAATTTTTTTCTGTTCTATTATTCATAATATTGTATTCATTTTCTCTGATTGCTTGGTGTTACTATTTTTGCATGGAACTCACAGATAATCAAATACTAAAGCATTGACAACATAATATTCAGCAGATGTGTAGTAATTAGTGTTCCAACATTTGTAGGGTCATGTAGATTTAACATGTTAATCATCAATCCAAAAATTTGTCTGGCATATGGCATGGCTTATGTTTCATATTTAAAAACCATCCTCTTAGTATATTACTTTCTAATAATAAATGATGTGGTCTGTGACAAATATTAGGGCTTAATTCTTTTCAAAAACCCCAAGATAGTGAATCTCTTAAATCACTTGAGCAGTTTAATTCTTTTCATCTTATTCGTAATTGTATTATATGTTCATGCCATTATAGAGCCTTGCAGCTAGAGAACTGTTTGTCAGAGCATGCAAGTATGTACAAGGTATCATATCATAGACCATACCGGCCCCCAGTACAGTTGTTGACAAGACAAACACTTAAATATGTGTGTGTGTGCTTAATACCTCCTGTCTAGATATCTAAGGGAATATATCTGTCTCAAGGTTATCAGATATAGATGTTGATACGACAATAAGAAGGTAATAATTGGTAGATCTTGAAGTCATAGCACATAATATTATATAATATTGATTTCGCTAGAGGCTTAAAATATCATAGGACTTTATTAAGTTACATATGCGATTTCGATTGGAGTAAATAAAAGTGAATAAAGTATATACCATATTTTGTATGAAAATGAACAAAATGTAACATACAAAATTTGTGCAGAATGTGGCACCATTTAGGTGCTTTTATTTACCATAATTTTACAGATTTTTCAATATTAAGTAAAAGTTAATAAATTATACTGCAAGCACCATTTAGGTGGTTTTATTGAAATATAATCATTATTTTATAGTTGTTGAGTAAATAATATTAATGCCAAAGTAAAACAATTATTGTACAAAAATGTTTGAAATGTGAAATAATCCAAAAATTGTACACAAAATGGCATCTAACAGTAAGTACTTCTTAATATTAAGTTTTTCCATAAATTAAAACATTATGCCCCTGAAGGTCATTCCACAGTTAGAATACTCTTTTCTTTCAAACATTTCACACCAAAGAGTACCACATCTCTCTTATATCACTAATGAAGCACCAGCTTGCTTGATAAATGGATCAATTAACTCAAAAGGCCTATTGGTTACCAGAAAATCATTTTTGGTTACTACAATTTTAATCTGGCACTTAGCACAGATGAAGTGTTATGACTACAAATATATATTTTGGCTTGACTGTGATATTTGTTTACAATCAAAACCATTAAGCTGTCTAATGAGAAAAATCTACTGTTATCGACCTTGCCAGAAGGCTGAGTTTGAAAAGCTGTCTTCATCAAGTAATTGAATCTAAGAGCTGTTTTGTCTTTAGTATCAAAATACAATGAAATCATGCCACAAAGAACAATCATGCATATGGCTAATAAAAATCTAGATCTGTCAATGTAAGTAGAATTCAAATTATTTTTAACGAGAATTATTTTTATTGCAGATGATACTTTTTGTGTTAGTCACATTAACAGTGACCTTTGCTGCCAATACCAATAATAATACCACAGCTACCACAAGTCTAAGTAATGAGACCACTCCAGAACAAATGCCAATGAGATGTCCAGATTTTAAAGTCTATGCAGGCAATAACACATTGAATATTCCATATACTATAACATGCTGTATTGCTATTGTGTGTGCTTTCTACTTTGCATTATTTGGTAAGTAAACACATCCTTTACTAAAAAGGATTATTTTAGTTAGAGTGAAAAACTTACAGAATTTACAGATTTGCCATCCCTATTGACACTAACACAATAACTCTTTACTATCAATAGACAACACTTCCGGCAATATCTGTGTTTTGACTGGGGGCAATTAAAATTTCTGAGCTTGGAGGATATAAAAAAGGTTGTTATATATATGCGTATTTTGATTTGTGGTTTCAGGATGTAGAAATAGTATAATTGATACTTTAAGGACTTTTTTTGACATGTTTTGACTTAACAGTCGATAATTTCATATTAATTGCCCCCCAGTCAACTCCAAAAAGTCATGTGATTGATAGTAACACATAATTGAAAGAATTAAAAAAAAATCCACTGAACTGTGATTGGTTTAGGCTGCGTTCATGATGTAAAATTTGGGGGGGACCAGAAAATTTTTTACCAGTAAAATGGGTG